AGAATGGGTGTTCCCAGGGCCACGGGTGCCCTAGCATAGGGAGGATAGTATGAGCAAGCAACCAAGGCGTGGACACGTCTGTGTTAGCCGCCAGGGCTGCTGCTGAGAGGATTCTAACCTCTCCCAGCAGAGAGCATGTCAGGTTGTATAACAGTTGGCTGCCACTAAATACAGTATTTCTGCTGGTGGAAGGAGTACTTTTTCCTATCTGCATATGGGTGAGTAGCCACTTAGTTCCTAGAATCCCTCCTCGCACAAGGCAGCAGCCTGGTGATCCTGCAGCTCCTCCTCTGGCTTTGGTCTCCAAGTGGCCTCACCACCACCTCTTTCTCCTTTCTCCCTTCCTGTGGCCCTCTCCCTTCTTTGTTCTTTCTTCTGACCTTTGAGCTTTTCTCTTTCAGACTTGGAAAGGTACTTCCAGGGCCTGGGCCCGCAACCCAAGTTCCAGGTGACACTGAATTTCTTAGAGGAGGACCCTGGCCCCAACCACACCCCACAGAGTCTTATCTCAGTGCAGGTAAAGTTCAGGGCCGGGTAAGAAAAGCTGCCTTGCCCCGAACTGCTGTGGCTCAGTTGGTTGGGCGTCATATTGCGAGGCGGAAGGTCACCGGTTAGGTTCCTGGTCAGGGCACGAGCCTGGGTTGGCGGGTTCAGACCCCAGTCGTATGAGAGGCAACCGACCAGTGTTTCTCTCCCTCTCTCCCTCCCTTCCCCATTCTCTCAAAATACATACATACATAAATAAAGGATAGCTGCTTATGAGGGCAAGGGGCTTCCAGGAGGAGAAGGGGCCTACCTGGGTGGGATGGGGTAGTGGCTGGCCTTGCTGTGCTCATGATACCCTCTCCCCCAACTTCTGGCACAGATGGAGCAGGCCTTTGCCCGACATTTACTGCAGGACACTCCAGAGGACCATGCAGCCACTCTGTCCCTGGTGCAGAGCCTGGGGGACCTACCTTCCTCCTCTCCACTTGGTTCTTCCTATTTCCTTTGAAAGACACTCATTCTCCACATTATTGATCTGCCTCCTGCAATGATACTTCTTAATAGTTGTCTGTGATGGATATGTCCTTGAACTCCTCTTAATATCTGGCTGTTTTTTATCTGTGGTGGTTTTTTTTTATTAGTTTGGGGTTTTTTGTTGTGTTTCATTTTTTCAGACATCCCCTCTTTTGTCTGTGAGGAACTGAACTGGGAAATGGTGGGAACTCAGGGGGTCATTTCCTTTTCCCCCCAACCCTGAAGCCAAGCACTTTACATTTTCTTTTTAAATCTTCACTAAAGATTTAAAATAAAATGTTATTGAAAAAGGAATCAGCATCTGATTTGTTGAGAGAATAAGGTAGCAGGGGTCAGAGGTTGATAACAAAGAGGTAACGAGAGAGCAAGGCACTTGGGTTCTCTTCCTGCTGACATCACCAGGTCCCTTTCCTCTCCTCCCACGACGGGTGCTGGGGAGGAAGCAGTCTGGGCACTGCGGATTTTGGGTCTGGCTCTCTGTACCGTCTGTGCAACCAGGATGAGAGTCAGGGTCAGCCACCAAGAGAGGCACTGAGCCTACAGCTCCTATAGCCACCAACTTTACACGGGAAGATCCGGGCTCCACAGTGCTTTGTTAGAGGCGTCTGATTTGGGCCTTCACAACAGTCTGAGGGTGGGACCCTACACTGGAGGTCTGAATGAACAGGAGATGTTGAAATTGACCTGAAACTATGGGCTGGAGGCCCTGGGACCTGCTGGGAGGGTAAGTCAGAGGGAAGCGTTGCTGAACCCTCTGTGCCTGAGGCAGACCAGGCCCTGGTGCCTCTTCTCCCAGCACATCGTGCACTGTCACGCCCACTGAAGGGTACCCCCAAACTGGTTTCCTCACTTTACCTGAGCCCCACAAAAGAAGACAAGCTGGCCCAGGATGCCATGTCACCAACACTGTCCACTGAGATTTGGAGTGCAAATCAGCTGACACTCCTCTCCCTCATCCGTGTTTATTTGGCCTCCAAACCGGAAACTTTCTTCACAAGGCCGCTTGTCATCCTTCCTCTCTGTACGCTCAATTCCAGCAGAAGAGTTCAGACCTAAGTCACCACTTACCTGATTGCCCCGGCCTCCAGCTTCCCCCTTCCTGTACACGACACCAGGTTAGAGGAGGAGAAGCCTCCCAGACTAGACTCTTTCCTGTCATGTCACTCTTACAAGCCTTCAATGGCTCATGAATTACCTACATGGTCAAATCTAGATACCTAGATCCTCAAGGATCTTGCTTTAATGTTGCTATTGGAGCCTTTCTTCCTCCTCAGGCCTGTCTTCTCTTCAGTCTTTCCCATCATGCTCCAGGACTCTAAACAGGCATTGGCACTGGCAGTGAAGAAATCAGGTACTGAGGGCACAGGTGGACAGCCATGTCGTGCCCTCAATGTACTGAAATCCCACCTGGACCTTTGTATCTGCGACCTTCCCTGACTTCCATTTTTTCTTGTACCCCACATCCGATCCACCAGCCAGTCCTGTCATTATTCCTTCAAAAGCTACCCGGAATCTGACTGCTTTTCTTTGCTTCCACCGCCAACACTTTGGAACAAGTCACCATCATCTCACACTTTTTCTTCCTGCTTCCTTCCACATCTTTTCTGCTTTCCCTCCTGTCCACCTTCAGCCTATTCTCAACACAGCAGAGGTCCTCTTAACACATAAGTCTCATGATGTCACTTCTCTGCTCAAAACCCTCCATTGGCTTTCAACTCAGGTTAAAGCCCAAGTCCTTAGAATGACCTCCATGGTCCTTGTGACTGGGCCGCTATCCTCTCTAACCTCGCCCCTTGCCATTCTCCTCAGTCACTTTGCTCCAGGATACTTGCACCCACCAAATACATTTCTGCCTCAGGACCTTTACACTTGCTGGTTCTTTTGTCTGAAATACTCTTGCTTCAGGTAGGCACATGACTTGCCCCCTCCCTTCCCTGAGTCCCCTACCTAACCAGCAGTTAGTGAGTTAGAGAGTACCTCAGTACTCTCTATCCTCCTACGCTGCCTCATTTTCCTTCATAGCATTGACCACTTCACCTATTTCCATTTGTCTACTGGTTTACTCCTCCTTCCTCACTCCATGAGAATGGGGACTTGACCTGTTCATTGCTATATCCCAAGTGCCTAGAGGAGCACCTGGCACGTTCTAGGCATGCAATAAATACTTGTTGAATGAATGAATGCACAAATTATCTCCCAAACTAGGTTCTAAGCACCTTAAGGGTAGATGCCCTATTTTATCAGGTTTGTGTCCCCATGTGAACACTTGTGAACTTCAACAACTTATGGGCAGTGATGGAAACAATTATGTTTTGTAGAAGCCAGTTTAGCCAAACACGGTGAAATGGGGATTGGGAACAATGAAATCTGAGAGCAGAGTTCCAACCAGGCTGTCACTAGGAACTGTGTGGTCCAGGAGAAAGAGTCTGTCTGGGTCTCCATTTTCTCATCTGTAAAGGCCAGGTTTGCACTAGATTTTGAAATCCCTTTTAGCCTCAACATTCTGTGGTTGTAAGTTTATTGTAATTGCACAGTTCTTTGACAAATATTTACTCAACTAGGTTCTAGGCACTAATTGAAAACACAAGATCCCAATCTAAAGCGCTCTCAGATTGAAAGACCAATATAAAATAGGGTCAGCTGGGCTGCAGTAAGAGCTGAGTCTTAAACAGACAGAAGCTCGCCCTGGAGTGGAGACTGGGAAGGGCATTTAGAATAAAGAAATGGCTGTGCGAAAGCAGGAGGTGTAGACACAAGGGATATTTGTAACGAGAATGTAACTTAATTTTACACAAAGAATTGTTTGAGACTAATGGCTTTTGGATATCGAGACTATATCCTGCATCCAACAAAGCTAAAGGCTATTTCAGCCAGAAGATTCACAAATGGAAAACAGGCAGATCAGGCATGCCCATAACTTAAACCGTTCAAGTTTGGGAAATGACCAGGCAAGTCCCCTCATTACTTCTGTGAGATCTGTCTTTTCTCACATCAGCCTGTAGTGGTTCCCAATCCACCTCACACTGTTTCTACATGTCCAAAGCTGGCACAAAGATGGACCAAACAATTGCTACCTGGTAGGATTTGGGGGTGGGGGGGAGTGCAAGGTCTAACCGCAAGTCAGGTGCCTTACAAGGCCAAGGCCTTTGCCCCAGACATGACCTTTCTGGTTGAAATGCCCTTGTTACCAGGCTGGAAAAGGGAGAGGCTGGGATTTGCTCCCCGCTCATTGGTCGGCTGAGAAGCATCCGAGAAACCCTTGCTACCAAAGAGAACGAGAGCCCATTGGTCAGAACACCTCACAATGGCCCAGCAGCGCGCAGGGTTCTGCCGATTGGTTCGTTCCTCCCTCACCGGACGCTAGGGGGCTGGGAGGGGGTGAGGTGGCGTATCTCTTCGACCCTGAGCGGGCAGCTTGGCGCCCTGGAACGAGTTCAGCCTCGCCGACTCCTGCTCCCATTGGCTGTTCTGGAGGCCACCGTCTGCTAATGAGCGGGGCGCAGAGCACCCAAGTGCGTCCTCCCTGTGACGGGATCTAGGCCCGCGAGGGGGCGATCGGGTGAGAGAGACGGTCGCTACCCAAGCTGAGAGCAAAGGCCCAGAGCCCGACATCTCTGTGGAGGGCAGCCCCCATCGGGACCTGGTCTGGGCCACCGCCAGGCCTCTCCTCAGGAGCTCTGCATCTCCAACCTGCTCCAGTAAGTTCGAAGCACCCACATGGCTTGAGAACCCTTCGGAGCTGAAGGAGGGAGCATCCCTGTTTATCTAGTCTGCGTTTTCTCTTATTTGTTCCCTTAATCGTTTATCCATCACATGTTTATCTGCTCATTTATTTGGCATTCTGGGTCCATACGCTGTCCACCAGTCCAAATCCTTACTTCTCTGCGACGGTGTTGGGAAATTCCGTGCCCTAAAGAATTCGTATTGAGATCCGAATAGAGGAGTGGTAGACGACAGGAGGGTGAAACCTCGGAGGGACGATGTTCTACTATCCCAATGTGCTTCAGCGCCACACGGGCTGCTTCGCCACCATCTGGTAAAAGCCTGCTGGGCCAGGGTGGGCGAGCTAGGAAGGGTGTCCTGGCACCCCTGCCTGACAGCTCCCCGCCCCCATGCCACTCCCACCCCGTCCAGGCTGGCAGCAACACGTGGTAGCCGGTTGGTGAAGCGTGAATATCTGAAGGTGAATGTGGTGAAGACCTGGTAAGGCCCAGAAAATGGACCTGGGGCTGGTGTGGGTTAGGGGGTGGTTTAGGGTGGGTAAGGTTGTGGGGCTGATTCTTTGCACAGGCGTGATGGTCATCAAGGCACATTGTCCCCTTAGTGAGGAAATCCTCAGTTATGTGCTGGTACAAGTGGAACCCCCTCAGCCCGGCCTGCCGCGCCCCCGCTTCTCTCTCTATCTCTCAGCCCAGCTCCAGATTGGCGTGATCCGGGTCTACTCACAACAATGCCAGTACCTCGTAGGTAAGACAGAAGGCTCTGCCAAGGTGGGGCAGAGTTGAGTGGCCCTCGGGTAGGCCGGCTCCCTGTTCTTCCTTCCCTGCCCACAGAGGACATTCAGCACATCTTGGAGCGCCTGCACCGGGCCCAGCTGCAGATCCGCATAGATATGGTGGACACTGAGCTGTGAGTGTGCCTCTGGGCCTGGGACCACCCAGCCTTTGCTGGGGAATCTCCCTGCTTGGCGTTTGCTCCTCTCAGCCTCGGTCCTTGATAGCCACATTCTTTCCCAGACCCAGCCTGTTGCTTCCTAACCGCCTGGACATGATGGAGATCCTGGAAGATGCTCCAGACCCCTTTTTTGGGATGATGTCTGTGGATCCCAGACTTCCCAGCCCCTTCAATATACCTCAGGTGGGGCTCATTCCCCCAGGACACCTCCGACCGATGCATTGACAGAACAGAAGGGGAGCGCTGTCCCTGTACCAGCCTGACACTGGGGTTAGGGAAGGGAGCTGCCACAGCTCTGCCCCGCAAGAGGCGGGGCTGGGGAACTGTCCTGGTGGACCAATCCAAGCAAACCTGCTCCACTTACTCAAGTCCATCCTAGAAGCTGTTCTTCTCTCCACTCATCTCCACACTGTTTCAAGGCCCTAGTCCAGCCCTCGTTGTTCCTTGGCACTAGGTTTTCCTACCCATGTCCGTCGCCATCCATTCCTGACACCCCGTAACTTAGACAATGTTATTCCCCTCCTTCAAAGACACCTGCAGTTGTTCCCCACTGCAAACAGAATACTAGCATTTGGGACTCTCTGTGCCCTGGTCCAGAGTTAGCCATCCCCAGACATCTCAACACATTCTTGGTGCATCTTCGGCTCCCAAACACACCAGTCTGACCCCTGGGCCCAAAGATGCCACATTCAGTTCTTTGCTTGATAAGCCCTTAAGGTAACCCCTTGTTCTTTACTAGCCAAGTCTTACATTTCCTTACATTCCTCACACAAATGCTACCCTTTTCCATAAAGTTTCTATCCCAGTCCCAGGCAGAGCCAAATATTGTTCTGGAACTCAGCACCTAGGGCCTTGTTTTATCCTTTGTGTTGACCCTTGCTAGGGTCATAGACAGACTTGTCTCCTTATTAAACTATACGGCCCTTAAGATCAAGAATACTTTTCCTTCGACACTTGATATAAGGACGCAGCACGTCTTGCACAGACAAATTGACAAAGGCTCCATAACTGGTGGGGGGGGAGTAGAGATGGGGGTCTGTTAGGGCAGGAATGGGAGGCCAGGTGGCGAGTGGGTTCACTGCATGTTAATACAACTAGGCATAAAGGGGTGTTACTGTCCATTGTGTGAATAAGATTGCAAAGTGGGAACGCAGGGGGCTGAAGCTGAAACCTATTTTTGTTTTGTCCCTGAAGATTCGGCATCTTTTGGAGGCTGTGTCTCCAGAGAGAGTTCCTGAGGAGGCCCCTCCTGAAGTCCCCACAGAGCCAGCGAAGCCAGGTGAATAGAGATGGCCTTCTTTCTGAGGAGAGACATAGGAAGCTCTAACTGAAGAAATAACCATTTTTGAGCTTCTCAAGAGTGAGGCCCTGTGAGGGGCACTTAATATGTGTAACCTCATCACTGCCTCACAGGAGTCCTATGAGATCAGACTTCTCATCCCCACCTTACAGATGAGAAAAGTGAAGTCCATAGTGATTGAGCAGCATATCCAGGGTCAAACGGCCAGCGGCTGGCCTGGGCCTGATGGAACCCAGATTGACTTGACCCAGACTCCATGCTTTTGCTTTACATGGGTGTGGGAACTTGGAAGGAAGCGAAGGGGCTGGTGTGACTTTCCTGCCCCTTCAGACAGGGTCCCGGTCACTGTGCTATCTCCAGAGGCCATCACGCTCCAGGAGGCAGAGCCCATACGTATGCTGCACATCGAGGTGGGTTGTGCCCCTGCACACAGAGCCGGAGGCCAGAGTCCTGCTGCTGACAGCCCAGCTCCCCTTGCACCTACTTCTCTCTGCCTTCTCGTTTCCCTCTCCCTGCCTCTGGCACGTGAGCATCCCCTGGGCTTCCCTGACCTGGCCCTGTGGCCTGCCTCTCAGACTCACTCTCCTGGGTCTACTTCCTTTTTTCAGAAATGGAATTGAGTCCCCTGTCCTTGTTCTTCCTCTTATTACAGGGTGAACCAGACCTCCCAGAGATTAGCCGTCGAGACTTGGACCTGCTCATTGCTGAGCCAGATGAAGCTATCCTGTTGGAGGAACAAGGCAGGCCTACCCGGCAGAGTGGGGCCCGCCTGGTGCTGGACAGTCAGGCCCCGGGCATGAGCAGGCTTGGCTTGGGCAGTGCTCTCTCTTTTCTTTTGTGCTCTGAACCCTGATTCCCTCTCTCTCTGCAGTGGCCAGGGAGGTGCCCCGGGCCCCAGAAGTGGAAGTGGCAGTTCCCCCGCTCTCACCTCCAGCCCCTGCACAGTAAGGACAGGAACCCCAGGGTCAGGTAGGAGGTTGGTGCTGGGAGCAGCGTTCTCATCTCTCCTGCCTATTTTCCCTGAGGGTGGAAGTGGCTGCAGAGCCACTTCCAGGCCCGGTCCTGGCCCCGGAGGAGGTGAAGCCAGCAGTCTGGGAGCCTGAGGCCCCACTTGTTGGTGAGTAGCTGCCACGCCCGGATCCTTCCTGGGGCATCTGCACAGCTGCTGCAGACAAGGGCCCTGTATTCCCACTTGGTAAAGGCAGGACCCTCTAGCTTCTTGCCTGGGTGGCTGAGGGTGGAGGGTGTGGGGCAGAGCCAGGACCTAGCATGTTGTTGCAGAGGTGACACCCCCCCTCCCGAAGGAGCTGCTTCTCCCAGCCCCACTCAGCCCAGAGGTGAGTAGTAGCCCTTCTAAGCCTTCTCTCTCTCTCTCTCTTCACCCTCCTCTCCCAGAGCTCCTCACCCATATTAAGCTTCCCCAAATCCCAGGCCATAGCTAGCCTACACAAGCCTTCGCACAAATCAGTAAAAGGTGGCCCTGCCCATACCACGATTTAACCAGCTGCACTTCCAGATGGGTAAGCCCCTGCAGTGTAGGAGTTGCACGGGCTCCGGGAGGGCTGCCCAAGCCTTTTCCTGGCGCACCTCTGTGGCAACAGTGTGCGGCCTGTTTGCCACCCACCAGGATGTCAGGAAAAGGAGTAATTGGTAGCCTTGCCCCCATCTCCCCTCCCCGTTTGGCAGAGGCGGCCCCCAGCCTCCCCACCTGCTCGTCGTCGCATTCGCCGCCGCCAATTACTGTTCTGGGACAAGGAAACTCAGATCTCCCGGGAGGAGTTCCAGAAACAACTGCAAACCAAAGCTCACTGCTGGGAGTGTGTGAGTGCAGTCCAGACTTTGCAGGGGTGGAGACAGGGAGGGCCTAGAGCAGGTACCTGCTGGGCCTTGTAAACTCCTGGGGAGGCATTGGGAAAATCCCCCTAGGTGCACATATTGGGGGTCTGCCCATACGTAACTCTCCATGCTCCTTCAGTGATCCTGCCCAGCATATCTATTGGCACCAGTTAAAGGTCCTACTTTTACCAATGAGCACAGCTGGCAGGGGCGTGAGCCTGGGAAGAGCTGGAAGGCAAGAGGCCTTGGAACAAACCATTGCAGAGGTGAAGGGGCAGTGCACAGTGACTCCCTCTGAACTGGGCTCTGGCCTTCCCTACCACACAGCCAATGGTGCAGCCCCCTGAGAGGACCATCAGAAGCCCCATGGAGCTCTTCCGAACCCCAACTTACTGTAAGAAGAGTGGTGGGAGCTGGCATGTGGGATCCTCTGACCCCATATTCCTCACTCTTGGCACTCCTCATGCCTCAAATCCTGTCCCCGCGGCCACCTTGTCCCCATTCAGCTGGCTGGCTACCCCCAGAACTGCTGGCTCTCTGGACCCACTGTGCCCAGCCACCTCCAAGAGCACTCAGGCGAATGCCGCCCCTAGAGCCTGAAGAAGAGGCTGCTAGGAGGGAGGCAGCAGCTGAGGAGGAAAGGAGAAAGGCTGAAATTCCGAGTGATATTGAGGTAACTGCAGCCTCAGTCCTTCCTGAAGGATGTGTCTATTTTCCTTGGGCTCCAGCAGTCTGTCTTCTGCCCCTGTGAGCCAATGGCATCAGGTCCTGTCTGAGAGCCAAGGCTGGTTCAGGGTGGGGACCATTTCACTCCTGCCCCAAGCGCTTCTGTGATGGTTGATGTCTTAATTCTCTTTCACTCCCAGGTCCTGAGGGAGGCCCAGGAGCCCAGTGGGCCCCTTATGCTGTCTTCAGGTAAGCACCTGAGGAAGGGGCGGTGAAGACCACAACCCTAACCACTGTCCCAAGAAACTGGTACCCCAACAGTGGACAGCTTTTGTTAGAGGGAGTGTTGAACGTAGAAAGCATAGATTCGTTCTCTTCAGTTCTCCCTCCTGGGTGCTTATAGCAAGTCACTGCCCAGCTCTGGCATCCAGTCCAAACAGGTCCCAACTGCTTAGATCCAGGCAGATTGGGTCAAGACCTCCCTTTCCCCAACAGAGCTCTCCATAGAAGCAGCTGAGGAGGAGAAAACCCTCATCAGCCTTGTCCCCCCGGAAGAGCGGTGGTAAGCAGCCAGCCTGGCTGAGCTCAGGCTGCAGCCCTGGCTGGGTGGGGCAGTGCCTAGGAAGGGTATGCCCCCGGTCACCATCACCGCTGCCACTTCCCTACTCTCCCTGCCTTCTATGTTCTCCCAGGGCCTGGGCTGAGGCAGAGCAGCCAGAGCTCCCTGCACTGCCTGTGGTACCTGAACTCCCTGAAGTGCCCATGGAGATGCCTTTGGAGCTGCCTCTGGAGCCTGAGCTGCTCTCGCTCGAGGCTGTGCACAGGTGCCAGGGCGGGGTGCCTCAGTTGGGGAGGCCCAGCACGGGGCCTTAGCTAATGGTTCTTGACCCCCACAGGGCAGTGGCACTGGAGCTGCAGGCCAACAGGGAGCCAGATTTCAGTAGCCTGGTGCCACCTCTCAGCCCTCGCAGAATGGCCGCCCGAGTCTTCTACTTGCTCCTGGGTGAGTGTGGGCACGTCTATGTAGGTGACACACAGGCCAGAGGCCACTGTGGGGACTTCCCCTGACCAGCCCACTTCTCCTGTCTTGACAGTGCTGGCAGCCCAGCAGATCCTACGCATGAAACAAGAGAAGCCATATGGGCGCATCCTGATCCAGCCGGGGCCCCGATTCCACAGTGGTTAGAGCCAATGTAGGAGCTGCCAAGAAACCAGCTACCTTAAACCATGTCCTGCCTTACAAGGCCCTGCCTGCCTCCTCTCTGGACATACACCTCTTCCTTTCTGCTCTCATAGCTACTGTTTAAACAGAAAATGAACTGCCTTTATTACAGTATGTTGTCACAACTCCATTTGTTTTGTCCCATAGCATAGCAGATCCAGCCCCAGGGACAGCCCCATAAGGCGGCAAGCAGGGCTGGAACTCCAGGATCTTTGGTAAGGCATGAGGAGGAACTGGGCTGAGCGGTGGTCTTGGGGCCTGGGTTGGCTGTTTTCTCCGGCCCGGCTGCAGCCCACAGTCTAGGTGAGGCCCAGGATGGCCTGGAGCTCCTGAGCTTTGTCCACAGGCAGGGAGCCCAGTGCTGAATGGAAGCTATCGGTATGCTGCTTGGCTAAGAATGTCAGGAGCAGCAGCAGTGCGGCCTTGGTGTCTGGGTGGAGTGAAGAGAGAGAGATCCAGGGAGGACTGGCCCCCAACACCTAGTTGCCCCAGGCTCTCTGAGCCCCACTGCCCCTTGCCTCCCCCTGCCCTGCCCATGACTGCCACCCTCACCTGGTGGGATCTTGTCGTCAGCCTGAATGAGACTGCAGATACGCAGGAGCTCGGGAGCTACATCTACAACCTGTGGGAAAAGACGGGCTGACGGGCAGCAGCAACCCTGAGCCCTGTGGGACGGCGGCGGGTGGTAGGGGCCAAGGAGAGGCAGAGTCTCACGCTAGGGCTGTTGTAGCCTGATACTAAGTCACAATTTAAGTCACAAGAATCTAAGATAATTGTGAAACATGAGAAGGACCCATGAAAAACCATGATGATAATTTTGGGAGCGGGTGGTAGGGGGAGAGGACAGGGGATTGTGACCAAAGAAGACTGAAGTCATGACCTCAAGATCAAAATCCCAGACACCCAGGAGCACCACCAATATAACAGTCTGTAAAGGTGCACGACAAAGGTGGAAGACACAGGAACACTGGGACGTCAGTCCAAATCTAGCCACTTGGTGCAGTCAAACCCCACAGAAAGGACTGTTTTGATTGTAATGGATGGTAGGTAAGGTGGCCACACTTGTATCTAGGCTCCATGAAGCATGGCCTGAAAGAGCCCTGCCTAGGAAAGTCTAATTTTCTAGATGCAAATGGCCAGGCAGGATGGAGACTCCCTGCGGAAAAATGCTACGTGGTGAGAGAAAGCCCTTTTTCTCACAGGATAGGCCTGGCTACCAATCCTTGCAGATCAATAGGAAAGCAGAGTCGGGAGTGTCGAAGGGCAGCTTCAACCATCACTCTGCATCAGCTACAACTGATCCAACTCTGTCTATCAATGAGAAGAGAGCATTAATCTCCCCTGAGGGCTCCAGCATTGGGGTTACCTGGTCAGGGGTGCTCTGGTACAGGAAGCTGAAGAGGCGCCCTATGGTGACCCACTCCTCCATGTCCTCCTTCAGTGGCAGGGCGTGCAGCAGGGCAGCCAGAACCTGGACACACAGATGTCTCTGGTCTCTTGCCCTGTCCCCTCCTTAGCTTCCCAGAGCTGCCCAACGCCCCCATCCCTCACCTGGGGCTCTGGTTTCCTTGTGGGACTGGCCATCAGCAGGCGAGCGAGTGCCCCACAGATGTTGTCATGGACACGATCATGGCGCTCCCGTGCCAGGAGGGGCAACAGGAGCCCCACCAGCTTGGAAAAGTGTCTGGTCCACAGTCAAGGAAAAGGCACTCTCCCATCTGAGCCCAGGGACACTCTCCCAATCCCACCCCCCGCCCCAGCCACTCTTGCAGGCTGAGGATACTCCTGGGCAGGACGGCCCCCGTGCTCGGCCAGCACGCCCAGCCCGAAGATGGCATTGCTCCGCACTTCGGGGTCTGCCTCCCGGGTCGCACTCAGCAGCACAGGGAGCAGACGGGACACAAACTGGGCTGATGCAGCACCTAGGCCCTGAATGCACTCCGCTAGTGTACCCACTGCAAAAGACTTCTCTGCCACCGTGCAGCCCTGTTTCTGGCATGGGGAGGAGTGCACGTCAGCCTGGGCCTGGGACAGAGTGGAATTTGGGCGGAGTGGGGTCTGAGCCAGATGATGCGCACTCACCGACTTGCAGAGCAGTAACGGCAAGAACCCAGTGAAGAAGGGGGCAAAAGCATCTCCCCCCGCTGCAGCTGCCAGGGCAGGAATGGCCTCACCAGCGTACTCTAGCAACATGGCGTCATATTCAGCCTGTGGGGCCAGGTCAGGGGCTGGAGCACCGGGACCAGCTGTGACTGGCACCTCCCAACATGCTCCTCCACTGCCAAAGGTCCCAGTGAGGGCTGCCCTTGGTGACAGGACTGGCCCCTCTAGGCTGGGCTTGTTTGTAGCCCAGGTTTTTTTCCTGGCCCGCCTCCTCTCACCTATCAATCGAAGCCCACCCTGAATCCCCACCTCTAGGAAGCCTTCCCTGAACCCGCTCTGCCTGTGGGAGGAGGGCTGTATCATTCAGAGCCATTAGCAGTCTTGTAGCAGCCCTGGCTCCCCTAGGCCAAGCCCAAGTGCACTGTCCACCCTGCCCTGTGGAGACTACCAGACAAACTGCTCTCCACGCTCTCACCTGGTCCTCCTCCTCCTCCTCCTCGTCAGTGTCCTGACAGGCTGTCTGCAGGAAGAGGTAGCACAGCTCAGCCTGGGCTCTCCTGCCCCTTCTCTTCTCCGTGGGGTGGAGATATGGAGGATCTGGACTTGTAGCCTCTGACCACCCCCACCCAGGGCCTGCAGCCCACCTGCCCTGCTCACCTTCCTCTGCAGCACGGCCTTGAGCATGTTGCAGAGCTCAGCGAGGCGCCCAGGGGGCTGCAGTGTGAGGGTCCCACAGCTGCGCAGCACCCCCGTCAGGGCCTCCAGCACAGCCATCACCACTTGGCGCTCCCGCTCCCCATACACTGCCTGCATGTAGGATGGCACCACCTGGGCCAGGATGGCCTGCAGAGCTGAGGACATGATTGGCTGATGTCCTGGTCAGCCCCTGCCCCTCTCCCATGCACCCCCTGGCCCCGTAGGCCCCCAGCCTGGCCCCGGTGCCCTTCTCACCAGCAGTGTTGGGTTCTGAGGGGCAGCTCTGACAAGCTTTGTGCAATGCACAGCAGAACTGACCCAGGGCCTCGTGGGCTGCCTTGCGCACATTCAGGTGAGGGCACTGCAAGATGAAAAGGGGTGGAATGTGCCTCCTCTGTGCAGGGCGAGCACAGGGCCTCTAACCCTTGGAGCTCCCCAACTCTACCCATCGCCCACTCACCTCCAGAAGTTTGAATACTTCTTCAAAGACACTCTCCATGTAGGGAAGGAAAGCCACACTGTGAACAAACACAAGGCCATGGGGAAGAGGCTCCCAGGCAGTGTTCCCAGTGCCAGGCAGGGAAGGGCCAATGCATACCTGGTGTTCACAGAGATCTCCCCCAGGGCAGCACAGGTGTCTTCCTTCTCATCAAAAAAGGCATTCTCCACACTGTACCTAGAGTAAGGTAGGGAGGTGGCAGCGATCAGGCACCAGTGGGAGCAAGTCTGGCACTGGGACCCTGTCCAAAGCTAGGATTCCTCCGACCATTCCAGTAATGGCACTTCTCCGCACCCTGAGATCTCTGAGTCATCCTCCTCTTCCTCATCCTCATCCATGAGCTCCTCCTCTTCCTCTGCATCGCTCTCGTCATCAAACAGAAGGAAAGAGCTGCTGCCATCGTACTGAGGCTGGACAGAGGAGGCACAGCACAGACTCTGGCTCAGCTGTGACCAGAAGATAAACTCCACACCAGGGCTGGCCTTCCGCACCACCCAGCCCTACTCTCTGCTCACCACAATGCCCTCAGTGGAACGCAGTGACAACAGCATGAGTGTGGTGATTTGTGGCAGGTAAGGTGCCAGGGCCTCACCCATCAGCCCTGATAAGGCTGCAAACAGGCTGTACCTGGTGGAGGCAAGTGGAAGCTGTACAGTCCTGCCTACGAAAGCCAGACAGGATGGGGGAGCCAGGGAAAAACTATGGTCCAGAACCAGAGGACTAAGGTCTGGAGTGGGGACGAGTGGGGGCTCACTCACGTGCAGCGCCGCAAGTCAGGGTCGTCTACCTGGTCACATAGGCCCAGCCCCAGTTGGCAGCATTCCTCAGCCAGGGGCCTCATGGGCTCCCCTACGGCTCGTGCCAGCACCCCCAGCGTCTCTATGGGGGCAAAGACTTGGTTAGCACTGGGAAGTGGAGCTGGACCAGAGGAATGCAGGGCCAAGATCTGGGGACCAAAGGTGGCAGTCGGAGGTAATTCAGAAACTCCACCTACTCTTAGGTACAACAGGAGTGCCTTCCTCAGTGAGAAGGAAGACACTTGTGCTGCCCTGAGGAATATCTCTGTGAATCCCAGGTGAGCACTGGCCCTTCCCTGACACTGGGAACCCTGCCTGAGAGCCCCTTACTTACCCAGGCTCTGGATCCGCACAGGCTGGAGGTCCTCATGGCCTGTCACCAGGAATTCCCGCAGGTGCTCCATGATGGTGGGAAAGTAGGGCAGCAGGGAGGCCTGGGCAGCTGTGGCTGCAGGACACAATCAGCTGTGGGTGGATGGGGTGCCAGGACCAACTGCTACAGGCTTTCTGGGTGAGCCCCATGCCCTGCCTCCTGCCTCCTTCTCCTCACCAATGGCTCCCAGGGCGCTCACAGCCAGCTCCTTGGCCTGGGGGCTGCTGGGGTTCCTCAGAGGCTGCAGCATACACTCCATAAGCTCCGGAAGGTAGGGCTGCACTTTAGGCCCTGTGGGATAGGGTACCCGTCTAACAGCCAACCCAGGTCTCTACATTCTAGGGTCCACATGCCTCCAGGCTGATGTTCCTCGTGGCCCCACCACACCCTTCTTCCCACCTCAGGCAGTGATTCCAGGAGTTGCACATCCTGCCCCCTTTAGCTAAAGCTGCAGCTTTGTCCCCACCCTTGTACCCTCAACTGCCATCACTACCTAGGTTCTCCACGAAATTCTCCAGGGCATAGCAGGCCTTGGCTAGGTGGTGTGTGTGCCTGGGAGGCACTGACTTCAGGTAGGCAAGGAGCAGTGGCATCACCTCCCCTGAATAGCTGCTGATATGAGGCTGAAGGAGAGAGTGGGCCTTGAGTCAGCTCAACCACAAGGCACACACCTAAGTGCCAATGGCAGCAAGGGTTCCTGAAGACATGAAGCTCGTCCCTGGAACTGGTGGCTACCCACATTCAGCCCTGCTGACCTGTAGGTTCTCTGAGAACTGGCCCAGGGCAAAGAGCGCAGCGTTACGCACAACTTGTGACGGGTCCTCCAGGCCTTTGCACACAATCTGCAATAGCGAGGGCAGCAGTCTGGACAAGGCAGGACAAGAGAACATAGTCTGAGGGGCAGGAACTGAGAGCTCTGGACTGAGCTGTTCTCCTGTTTCCCCTGGGCTTTCTCTGTCACCAGATGGTAGGAACCACCTGCTGGTCCCTACAGCTGGGGCAGCCTTTCACTTATCTTTCAAATCAGAACACTTCTGAGATTAGAGGGTAAACACTGTTAATAATTAGGCACGAATTACACACACAGACCAGGACTGCTATGGGTCATATGGTCCTCATCCCAGGGCCCACCCTCACAGCAGGACAGGAATAAACACCTCTGCCTGATGTGGTCACTAGCGCCGTCAGACAGCACAGCCAGCACCAAGAGCCCAGCCTTGCGCTGGTAGGAGCTCTCACTCCGCAAGGCCTCTTCCAGCATGGGCATCTAGGGAAGCACAGGGTGTTCTCCTGAAACCCCAGCACAAGCCTGCCCACCCTTGTGGCAGCAGGCCCTCCACACTCACCAGGGCCCAAATATCAACCACTCAAGGGGAACATGCGCACCTGGGGCAGGGGCAATGGGCACCAGGAGGATGAAGACACGTACCAGTGAGGTAAAGAGCTTCTCAGGTGGCAAATGTAGTGCCAACATGTCCACAACCTGAAAAATGACAGGGAAACTTTGCTGGACTCCATCTCTGCCCCCCAACTGCCCACTACCTAATGCCCTGCCCCACCCTTGTTCCACATCCCACCTGTACAGCAAAGTGCTTGGGTGTTTCTCCCACCAGCCCGATTTCCAGATCTTCCTCCTCTGAATCCTGGTCCTCAGGATCCAGCTGGCCCAAGGGGGGCTCGGCAGCAATAATGGGGAAAAGGGTGTGCAGCAAGGGGGGCAGGAGACGATTCTTCAGTAAGGCCTTGAGGGGGAAAGGTGGAAAGGTGTCCCTGAAAATCTCCTACCAAGATGGACTCACATTAAAAATTCCAGCCTTTCTATAAATAAAGGGGTCTAGCAGGAGTTTCTCAATCTCCCAGCCAGGAACCAGGGTGAGACCAGACCAAATCTTAAATATCTTAGCTTTGGTACTTTGGCTATCCCAAGACTGTCAAAAAGCCCCAGGTGTGAGATGAGGGATAGAGGTGGGGTTGGGTGTGTCAAAGGACACTCACCTTGCTCTTGACTTTGACCAAAAAAGTGAGACAGCAGAGAATACGTACACGTACTGCATCACCCAGAGCCGTGTTTCTAGCCACCTGCTCAGAAACTAAGGCAAATCAGAAACAGGCAAGGAAAATACAGAAAAAGCAGCAGGGGCCATGCCCACCCCAGACTTACCGCCAGGCAGAATGTGAGGATCTCAGAGAGGTGGGAGGTGATGACAGGCACCTCTGACTCCAGCAATTCATCCAGGGCCTCCATGGCCTCACAGGCCTTTGCCTGCCAGACAGACAAGTTACAGGGTTACCATGCTCTTATTCAGTGGACCAGGGAGGATGCTCCTGCACCCTCCTTCCAATAGAGCTGCTCCTGCCCAAATGTCCTCACCTCATCTACAGAGATCAGCGTCTGCACGGCCGTGATGAGCTTGGGCACCAACATCCGCACCAGAGGCTGGAGAACAAAGGATGAGTTGAATCGCAGAAAGCATAATGCAGCCCAGTCTCAGGCCCCAGAAGCTGGCAGCTTCCTTGAAGCCTGGATGCGGAAGGAGCACAGGCACAGCCACTCACAGTCTCCCCTCTCAATTGTTAGGAAGGACAACAGGCAGAGAGTAGCTCTGTATCCTGCAAGGGTAAGGACCTAACAAGGATAGGGAGCCGGGGAAAGTGAGGGCCCACATCTCACCACGTCATCAGTGCGGAGGTAAGGGGCCATGGTGGTCAGAGTACGCAGAGAGTAGAAGAGAAGCCCAGGAGAGCCCACCTCACCAAGGGTCTCATTCAGAAGCCGAAGAAGTTCCCGGTGGTGGGGTCGGAAGGCCTCAGGCCGTGAGGTCACCACTACACTTAGCAGCAAAAGCCCCATCTGTCCAGTAGGGGACGAGAAGGAAAAACTTACATGGTCTATCCAGCCTCTCTGTCCCTCCCTCCTGCCAACCATGTAATGGTACCTCTCTCTCAGGGATGTGGGGGCTGTGGGTACTGTGCTGAAGAAGCTGCATGAGCTGAGGCCAGGTCTCCAGGCCTTCCTTCCGAAAAATAGTGGCTGAGAGCTGGGCCAGGCTAAGGCTCACAGAGTGCCTGCAAACAGGAGAGATTCCCCCAACCCCCAATCACCTTCCAATACCCTCCCCTGTACATGCTGGCCCTGCCTCTATGGGGTGGCCAGGAGAGAAACTCCCAGGTGGTGGTACAGGGTCTTTGCCAAGTTGGGACACGTAAGATAGAGGTTCAAAAGGAAATTGATAGCATGGTGGGTGTATAATCTCGTGATCTTGACCTCAGTCAGACTGAACTTCAGTTCCATTCTTTGGCAGAACATCATAGCACTTTAGTCTTCAACACAGCTTTAGAATCTGACCCACCCTTGGTCTAAAACTGAAGTCCCTGACCCTAACACCCAGCCTGAAGATGAAAGAAAAGGCAGAAGCCCAGACTGGGTATCAGACTGGAGTCAGTCAGGATCCGAGAGAAGGTGGGTGGGCACTTACTCTGTCTCTCTCTGGAGGGTCGTCAGGACCAGGGACTTGATGCTGGAACACAGGTGGGAGGCGTTTGGTACTCTGCCTGCCCATCTCAGCCTGGCCCCGCCCCACCCCGCCCCCGACGCTGCCCACCTCTCCCGGTGCTCCGCTGACAGCCGACGCCAGCGGGTGCTCAGTCGTCTGCGGGTCAGCACGGCTGCGAACTGGCGGATCTAGGACGAGGGAGCAGGCATGTGAGGGTCCGGGCAAGAGAAGGGGCTTTGACCAGTGACGTACCGTGGGAAGCTCAGCGGGATGGAACAGGAGCTTCACCTGAGGATCGGCCGCCGAGGCCAGCAGGTCACAGAGCGCGGACAGTGCAGCCGGGTCCCGAAGAACGGTCTGGAGTTGCTCGGTGGCCTAGGGGGTGCTGGGGGTTAGAGTCAGGCCTTTTCCGCAACCTCCCGCTCGCCCCTGTCCGGTCCCGCCTGCCCCGTACCCGGCGGATGCGCTCGGTGTCCGGCAGCAGCAGCTCCCGCAGGATCAGCTCCAGGCAAGCGGACTCCATGGCAGCAGCCGAGCCGCCGCTACTTGGCCGGGAGGTGGGAGGGACGGCACGTGGAAGCTCTGAAACCCACTTCCGGCGGAAAGGGGCGTTGCTCCGCGACCCTCCCGTCGCCAGGGTGATTCAACTCGCCTCCTACAAAGAGCTCCGGTTCCTCTACTTCCGTTGGGCTGAGGGCCGCTGAGCCGCGGAAACTGCGCCCTCGCGAGGTAGGTTCCTCCAGCCGAGAGTTCCGAGGCTGCGTGGAGAACTCGAGTTCCGTTTATTCCGCGGCCGACCCGGCTTCCTAAGGGACACTTCCTGCAATGGCAGGGCTTGAGTTCCTATATCCAGACCAAACCCTCCAACTACAGGATCCTTTTTCTTAATAAATTTTATTTTGATAATTGTAAAAAGAAAAATCAGGACCAAAACTAAAGGCAACTTAAAAAGTTCAAATATATACTTCTTATAGAATATTTATAATTTCTGGAACTTCCCGGGGGGAAGGGAGTCCCAAAGGGCAAAGGGGAAGGCAACAATGCCATCACACAATTCAGTCAATCAGAAGAGATGTCGGTAAATAAGTGGGGCGTGAAGAAAGAGAGCAGAGCAGTAGTTTTGCCACCCAAAACTCAGTCCATTTTGAGGTTAACATAGATATAACGGATGAACTTTAGGGAAGAAAAAAAGGAGATGGTGCCCAGCATGAGGAAGAAGATGTAACCAGTGAGTAAGGAGTAGCCAAAGAACTCCACTGTCTGTACGGGCCCTGACATATTGGAGCGCCTGGCATAGTAGAAAACTGAGTAGAGGAAGATGAAGAGCCCAGTGGAGCCAACACTCAGCACAGATCGCCACCACCAGCGGTAATCCTCCCCTGACAACTGGAAGTAGGTGAGTGCAATGGAGATGCAAGCTCCCACACTCAGCAGGATGGCGAAGACAAAGAAGAGGATGCCATACAAAGTGTACTGCTCCCGACCCCACACTGTGGCAAAGATGTAGTACAGCTCCACAGAGATGGCACTGTGAAGAGAAAAGACACTGCATTAAAGGGCTGTGCGCTGCCAACACAGTGGCCAGGGCAAAATCTAGCCATCACCCCTCTATGTTACTGGGTCAGTGCGGCAAGTAGGTCCAGTCAACTCCCTACCCTGGGAGTCCCTGGCTTGATGGGTATTCTTTTGCCTATGATTAGCTGATTTCATTTTCAGAACATCTTTTTATTTTCCATTGTATTATTTGCCTGCCACTAAGAGGTACTCAACAAATTGAACAAGTACTCAAATGGGCTTTGCCCCGCACAGCACTTGTAGACGCTCAAGTCAGAAACCAGGAAGATGGTGAAAGGAGCGACACCTCTATAAGTGAGACACCTCATATTTGAACTGTTTCAAGCTCAATCCTTCCTACTTAGAGAAAGGAGGAACCATTCAGTGATCTCTTAACGGTACAGCTGAACCGGAGATGATCACTGACAATAGGTTAGGGTATATAGGGGGAGTGGGGAAAGGAAAAGTTGGGGGCAGGAACCTGAGAGTGATGGCCATAGGGTAAAAGGAAGAAGGAAAAGTTGGGGGCAGGAACCTGAGAGTGATGGCCATAGGGTAAAGAGAAGATACCTGAAAGGCAGGAAGCCTCCAACAGTCATGTGGATGAGAGTAGACTTGTACCAGGGTTGAGGCGGGATTTCCCGGGCAATGTTCTTGGTGCGGCAAGGTGCATCAAAGGGGCTGGCATTGTTCTTCCCGAAGATACCTCCAATGACAGTGAGAGGAAAGCCCACCAGGAGCCAAACCGTCAGAAGCAGCAGGATGGTGGTGGCTGGCAGAGCCTGGGTTGAACCATTGGCCCAATGTACTGAGTTCACCACACTCCACGTCAGGAAGAAAGGTACTGCAAGGATGGGCCCCCAGAGGGAGGAGGGTCAGCACTAGGAACTACATCCCTGGGGCTACCCACTCAGCCTGGGTCTAAATGGGAGAGGGATGAAAAATCATGCACCCTGGCAGGTGCCACCCTTTTACATCCCACTTCTTGTTCCTTATCTTACTGACACCCCTCCCCATCCATTATCATTAACGATCAAGGCACCTGGACATAAAGACCTAAGAGTGACACAAATCCACCTGCCTCCAAGGGCCTGTCCTGCTGTGCCATCAATGATTCCTAGCATGAAACATTCTTTGGGATTAGACTCTGTTTTCAGAAAACATCCATTCAACCTTAAATGTGATAGAATATAAATCAAGACACTTGGCTTTGGGAACATGAAATGTTTTGAATGCAAACTATTACTGCCTTTGAAAGGACAAGCCAGCTTAAAGGCTAGAGCGGAGTGGCCCACCTCAGTGGAGTAGCCCACCTCAAAAATAAGAAAACTTAAAAAGAAAAACGGAGGGAGGGGGGGAGATTATCCAAAAATAAATTAAAAAACCGTTATTTCAGTGTAATGGTTGAAAATACAGGCTCTAGAGTTGAACTGCCTGGGTCTAAAACCTGGTTCACTACTTTTTAGGAGTGTAATCATAGGCAAGTTACTTAACTAGCCTAAAATTCAACTTGCTCATCTGTAAAACAGTGACAATATTACCTACTTCATATTGTTATTGTAAGGATTAAATGAGATGAAGGCATGTTGAGCACTTTCTACATTACCTAGAACTCTTTAAGGGCTTAATAATCTTTAACTATGCAAAATAAATGCATTCTTGCTTTTGCATGGTTTTCTTACTGTTTCTTTTGCCTATTTTCATTCTTTTGAAGCCTCACTCTGACTCTATCCCAGGTTCTATGACGTGCCCACCAGGGAAAGGACAGTTCTCACCAGAGAAGAGACTGGTGGTAAGAATGATGTTCCACACCCAACGCTCGCCTCCGATCTGCCGGTAGAAGTGACTGGACACGTAGCCAGAGATGCAGCAGGTCAGGGCATACAACAAGATGGCTGCCGAGTTAATGGCCCCGTGACGGTGCACATTGAACATGCCCAGCAGCGCCATGACAATAATGCCTGCAGGGTGGTAGTGGAAAATCTGTGTTAGGTCTCATCTGTTCCTCTTCCGGCAATTTCAGAGGAATCAGCCTCCTTCTGTCATACCCAAGGCCTCCAGCAAAACACTGCCCCCCAATTCTGTTGTCCAGAAAACTCACAATTAGAATATACATGCCCTTGCTAGAGCCACCCCACCCTTAGGACTGCCCCTCACCTTGGACAGATCTTTAGATCTTTTCTGAACAAACCACCTACTTACTTTTAACCCTTGAGAAAATTCCCTGGTTAATTTTTATCACCTCACCAGTGCCAAGGGCCAGGAACTGGGCACCCACACCAAGCACAGCACAGAGCAGACCGCGGTATGGAGGGAAACGGAAGACATCTGTATGGATGATTTTCCAGCCATTGTCACCTTGGTCAAAGTCATCACCAGAACCTGCAGAGGTTGTCTCCTCATCCAAGTTGTACCGAGCCAGGTCATTCCGAAGCACACGCATGAGAATGACAGCCACAAAACCCACCAGTAAAAACACAAGCACCATTGAATTGATGATGGACAACCAATGAATTTCCAATGTTCGGGGAAAGAAACCGCCATCATCACCACGGCGCCTGTCACTCCGCCGCTCCACTGAAGTCTCAGACCAGCGCACACTGTAAGTGTGGGTGAGGCCTAGGAATTCATCAGGTCGTAACCCATCTAAACTATGGGGCTTGACATCCCGCACTGAGACGTTGGCAAATATAATTCGATCTCCATGGAATTCCAGGTGGAAGTCCAAATGGGTCCAGAGTCCTATCTTGTGGCTGTGAGGCAGGAAACCACTCTCCTCCATGTAGCCTACAAAGCCACGGAGTGGCAAGTCGTCCACCACAAATTCAAAATAATACAATTCCTCGATGGCCTGGCGCAGCTGTTCCACCTACAAAGAGCAAGTCAGGAATCAGACAAGCCCTCCCTGGTCACAGGGTTACAGCAAGGTTTCTAACTTTGGCACTACTGACATTTGGGGCTAGATAATTTGCTGTTTGGGGTTGTCCCTTCCCTGGCCTCTTCTCACTAGAGTAGCCCCCCTTAATAGTGACAATCAAAAATATCTCCAGCCAGTGCGAAATGTCTCTTGGGAGACAAAACCCCTGTACAGAACCACTGGGTTAGACCCTACTATGTTGGGTCCCCCCACAAAAAAAAGTATGATTGACATTGTTACAGTCTATAAAAGGAGAGAGATAAGGTGTAAGGAGGTCTAAAGTAGATTAAGGAGAAGTGTCCTAATATAAGATTTACTAATAAAAATAGCATGACAGGGAAAATTAGGCAGAGTGTAAAGGAGCCAGTTAAGAAAGGGCTGAGAGGTAAGTATGGAAGAAAATAACTATGTAGCAGTGATAGTTGGGAGCTTATTACCAGCAGAGAAGCTTGGAATCAGGAGCCTCAGGCTCTAATATCAGCTCTGCAATTTGCTATCCATGTAGTCTTGAAAAAGTTACCTCTGAGCAAGTATGTTTCTTCATCAACTGAAAGCAAATAATGCCAACCTGCCCTGTCTGTCACATGGGGTTGTAGTTAAAATCAAGTCAGGTAATTTCCATAAAAATGCTTTGACATCCAAAAGTGTGATGCACTATTATTAGTCCCTGGGAAGGAGGAAGAAGGAATAAGTTCTAGGCAATGTGGAGAGGCTGACCTGTGCTGGACTGAGCTGCATGTGGCACAGAATTTTCCTTTCCACATTCTCTCGAAAGCGAATCTCATACAAAGACTCAGCCATTCGGTCGCCATCCAGCACTTCACCCAGGCTAAGGCTTTTGTGACGTATCTTCTCAGGAGAGCAGACTGGAAGCTGATAGTAGTGGTAAGTCTCCTGCGGATTATGGTAGGGTCCCACTTTGTTGACATATAGAATGACGGGGTCGCCGGCCTTGTAGTGTGTCACACCTTCCACCCCTGGCTCATGGCCTGTGCTTAGCAGCAGCATCAGGAATGGCAACCACTGACAGCTCCAACTTCGAGGGTGCCCTAGGGCTGTCATCCTTAAGGCAGCGGAACCTGTTTGGGGGAGTCCTGAGGTTACGGAAACCAGGGATCAACACATGACGCCCTTGGAGCTCAATGACTGCATTTCCTCCCCTTGGCCTCTCCGACCCTCCCTCAGGCGCCACACGATGTTTTTTATCCCGAAGGCTGGGTTGCACCTCTGCTCTCTAGTCCTCAACCCTGGTTCCCCTCTCGCGCAGCCCGCCATCCCGGACAACCCCGCCCGCCTCAGCCCGTTGCCATGACAACGCCACGCGGCCTCGCACCTCCTGCACCTTCCCGCTGCAGTCCTGGGGTCCAAACCGCGCGGGAAGGGCTGGCCGAGGCAGCGCCAGAAGCCTCTGCGGCCCCGTAGCTGCCCTTGGGCTCCAGCTGGGGTCTCCCCCAGAGCGGCGCGCTAGCGGCGGCTTGTTGAGGACCTGACGACCGACCTCCATGGAGCTGGCCGCCGCTGTGCCTGATCCTAGAGACTACAGCTACACCACAAAGGACCCCCGCACTCGGCTCTGTGAAGTGCTTGCCAATGAGCTTTGTACAGGGGGAGGCCCGGCCCAACTCTTGAGGCCAAGCAAGGCTCAGTGAACCTCTCCGCCGGCAGAGACCTCCCGGCAATCGGGAGAGCAGCCCAGGCCACGTCAGTCTTACCACTTCCGCCCTCGGCCGCTGTATCTTCTGCCCGGCGAGAAGCTTCTTCCTAGACCCTCGAGGGGACCGTGGCCCCACTGACGGTTTCCTGGGCAAGAGGCTGCGGTCGAGGCCTGGCTACGAGGATGCAGGCACCTTTTCGGGAAAAAAAGTCGTCGCCGGGCTGTCCGTCTGTCCCCGGGAAGGTTTGGAGCGGAGACCTTGAGCAGTTCCTGCCGCAAGCGCCCAGTAGCTGTCCAGAACAAGGAACCCGGGCGGAGGCCTTGCCCGCATCTGGTGGACGCCCCGAAGTGTTTGCCTGCTGCGCCAGTAGGACTCGCCATGGACTGCTTAGGGCGAGACCTGAGCGGTTCATGGTCCCCAACCCGAGCCGGGGTGAGGCTCTGGGCGTCGCTGTGTTAGGACAGCGAGGGCACAGCCCTTACAGGGGTCATAGTCTGGATTTCATCTCACTCCTACAGGTCATGAATGGCCTACCGCCAAAAAATAAATACGTAAATAAAATATTTCCCTGAGGCTGTATTGGAGGCCTCCCTAGCCGTATAATAACTGTTCGAAGCGAGGTCTGATGTACGGGCACATAGATAGAGTGTCTGCCCTTTCACCCTGTGAACTGGGCAGTCTGACAGGGTTGTTGTTAATTGCAGGTAAAGAATCTTGCCATGCGTTCGTCACTTTGCTGTTTTTATTCTTATTTACCTTTGTATTTGGACTTCTCTTAATTTCGTATTGCAGATTATTCTGGAAAAGTTTACCTTTGTCTGTCTCAGCTCTATTTTAAGGGAATCTGCCACTAGGGAAATTGCCCTGGAGATCAGACCCAGGGGCAATGACTTGACTTTGGCTGCCTGGGAGCAAAACGTAAGGAGCTTAGTCACAAGTGGTTTCTGGCCTGAAAAGCCCTTTTAGCTACATTTACTGTCTCTGACCCAGTCCTCCCTGAAGGAGGTGAAGTTCCAGAAAGTAGGAGGTTGAGTTTTTTAGACGACGAATTTTGTAATTTAAAAAGTACCAAGCCCTGGCTGGTTGGCCCAGTTCGTTAGAGCATCCTCCTGTACACCAAAAGGTTGCAGGTTCAATTCCCAGTCAGGGTGCAGATGGGAGACAACCAATAGATGTCTCCCCCCACCTCCCTCTTCCTAAAATCAATAAACAGATCCCCTGGTGAAGATTTAAAAGGAAATTTTTTTTTTTCTTAAATAGTTTAGAATGCCTTTGGATAGTCTTTAAGTGACAACCACTTGGTTTCTAAAGCCAGAAACCTGGGCCACTTTCTCAATTACCACTACCCCCCAGATAATGCCACTAAGCTCCTTCTGCTTATTTTTGGAATATCTTCCAAATACCTGCCTTCCATGGCTGGCTTGGTTCAGGTCCATCCTCTCACCTAAATTACTGTGACAGCCACCATGCTAGTCTCTTGGCTATCTCCCCGCTTGGATCCATTTCCCACATTACTGCTGCAAGTGTGAGTGAGTGAGTGTGTATCCTAAAGGTGTCTTTTCCTGCAACAGTGGTTCTCAAGTCTTCATGTGTATTAGATTCAGCTAACAGCTTATTGAAAACATAGATGATACCTGTGTACCACTAAATCAGGATCTTGGGAGCGTGGGTGACTGGGCCTCAGTATTTTTTCTTAACAAGCTCTGATTTTGATGCACACCAAAACTTGACCATGAGTACATAAGATAAAATCAGAAAAGCTGGCATGTGAGGTCTCTCATGCCTGGATTTGATTTCTTAGGTACGTTCCCCTTCTGGAATCCTATCGTATATTCAAATTGAAATTCTTTTAAAAAAATTTTTCTTACTGATTCGAGAGAGAGAGAAAGGATGAGGGAGAGAGAGAGAGAAGCATCAATTTATTGTTCCACTTATTTACGCATTCAGTATACAAAGTTGATTCTTGTATGTGCCCTGACAGGAGATCAAACCTGCAACCTTGGCGTATTGGGACTACACTCTAACCACGCTAATTGACCAGGGCTCAAATTGAAATTCTAAATGTCACCCTGGTGGGTGTGACTCGGTTGGAGCATTGTCCTGGTACCTAAAGGTTGCCAGTTTGATTCCCAGTCAGGGCACATGCCCAGTTTGCTGGCTCTGTTCCTGGTTGGGCTGCATGCAGGAGACAGCCCATAGGTGTTTCTCACACATGTTATTCTCCCTTCCCCTCTTCCTGGAATGAGAATAAAATAAACCTTTAAAAAAAATTCTAAATATCATGTTCTCTCAAGCCTGCAAGCCTCATGGAGTTCCCTCTGCTTAGACTGCCCTATCTAAGATTCCCTACTTACCTGCCTGGAGACCTCTTTTGAAGAGTGCAAGTGCCACCTCTACAAAGCCTTCCTTTATATTTTTCCAGGCTTTGTAGCACTTCACCTCACTAGACTGTTATTTTATTTCTTACGTGTCAGTCTCCCTTGTTAATTGCTTACTCCTTACATTAATTTATCCATCTTGGTATCCTCAAGGCCTAGCAATGCTTTTGTACATAGTAAGCAGTCTAACGCAAGTTCCTTTCAAAACTGGTTTACTCCTCCCCCCCCCCCCCCCGACCCTGGGTATATAATGACAGCAGAGGTGCCACCAAGCTACCTATCCAGGGGCCAGCTGTGAAGCAGAAGATGGGCAGGGCTGGGTGGGGCTCCTTACCACAGTGTGCCCTGGACAACTGCCCATCTTGATAGACTGAGGATGTAGATCCAGCCTCCAACCGGACTTGGAGCCATCCTGCCTGCCAGCTGAGTCAGACTGTCAATAAATGGGAATTTACCAATAGCCCATGGCATGATTTGTTGTTGGAGTTTTCATTTTATTTTGGAGGGTGGGAGATATAAGACATCTGATTCTTCCTTTGTTTTTACCTCTGCATGCCTCTCCCCCTCTCCCCAAATCTTAAATCCAGACACCCTCTCTATGACCACAACCTCTTGTCCTGTCATTCCCACCAAATTTGATCTTGCATTTTCACTGAGACCTACAGCCCCTCCCCCTGCTCCTTTGGCTTTTTTACCTTGTTTTAACCCATGAAACTTAGATCCTGCATTCCATCATTGAGCCACATTCTTGCCTGTGTGTTTGCTGCCTCCATTCCTTCATTGCAGCTGCCAAATGAAACAATCTTGGGTTATTCACCTACCGATATGCAAGCACACATATATCCAGGATGCTAAAAGGATCTTAACAGATGTGTTAAGATCACGTGTCTCTAAATTGTGTTCTCTAACCTCAGTCGGGTCCTCAGTGCTGCCCAGTGATCCTGCTCATTTTCCACATCCTCTCCCTTCCATTCCTCATAACCTATTTTCAAACTCCTCACTTCATCTCCTTGTCAGTTGACCTCCCTTATATGTTAGCGGGAGAGGCAAACAAGAAAAACAATTATAGTCACTACGGCAGGTGCCGTGACAGAGATAGTGTTGGGGTAGGAGCATCCAGGAGGCAGGAACGTCTAATTCGGGCTTGAGAAGGCAGTAAAGCCTTCATTAAAACAGTTCATCAGTTAAGTCCTGAAGAGAGAGCAGGAGTTTGCCAGAACAGAAGGAACAATGAAGAAAAAGCAATTCTGTTTGGCTGGAGCATTACATGTATATTAGAAGAAAGAATTGGAGAGGTAAAGAGGGTCAAGTCTTGAAGACACAAAAGTATTTGGGCTTGATTCTGAGATTAATGGAATACATTAAATTGTTTTAAATGGGGATAAAATCAGATTTATGCTTTGGACTAAGGATGAAGTACAGAGTTTAGGGTCATGGTAGGCAAAATAAGAATGCACTTCACTAGCCCTGGCTGGGTAGCTCAGTTGGTTAGAGTGTTGTCCCAATATGCCAAGGTTGTGGGTTTGATCCCTGGTCAGGGCACATAGGAGAATCAACCAATGAAAGCATAAATAAGTGGAACAAATAATGTTTCTCCCTAAAAATACCACTGAATAAAAATTTTAAAAGAATGCATTTCAAGGTTCAGAGGTGGAATCTACTCCTATACCCCTTCAGTCGGCCTGATCCTTGTAACCTTGTAATTACCTTTATTCATATAAAAGTATAACCCTGGTTGGTGTGGCTCAGTGGATAGAGGGCCGGACTGAGAAGCCTAGGGTCATTGGTTTGATTCCCAGTCAGGGCACATGCCCGGGTTGTGGGCCAGGCCCCCAGTAGGGGGTGCATGAGGCAACCACACATTGATGTTTCTCTCCCTCTTTCTCGGTCCCTTCCCCTCTAAAGATATATAAAAATCTTTTTTAAAAAAAGTATGGAAATTATGCTTTGTGATTTTAGAGCCTGGCCTATATAGAGGCTTTCTATACAAAGCATAATCATGCAACTTGTGATTTTTTTCCTCTTGAAATTCAGTGCCACTATGTGAGGGAACTGAGGCTAGTCTGCTGGATAATAAGAATTATTATTCACATGCAGCAGGAACAAATCATCCCAGCGAAGACGAGACCATCAGATGAACCTCTCAAATGAGCCTAGGTCAATTTGCCAAAAAGTTACTCTAAGCCAAAAAGGAAAAAAGTATGAATTTTAAAGTTAGGTTCCTTAGAACATGCTTCTACAATACCTTGTAATTCTCTTTAATATTCTTACACTTATAGTGTTTCCCATGCTGGGTTATAAAACCTAGGAGCACAGGGTCTATTGGCTTAATTGCTTATTTTAGTACTCATCATACTGCCTAGCACATAGTAGGTGCTCAATAAATGTGAGTGGTTGTAGAGGGTGCCTTCAGGAATGAATATGTTCCAAACTGCACTTCATTCTTAAGCCTTGTGGCCAATGGGGGATAGAAGGTGAATTGTGATGTGTGCGGAACATGGGACCTGGGGAATTCTGTAACCAAGAGGAGAAAGAGGTAACAACAGCTATTGGAGACAAAAGAATTGCTTCTCCCTTTTCTCCCCTCCAAGTTCCTAGTGGAGAGCTGAACCCAACATCCCAGACTTGTGTGACTACACAGGCAGGCATTTGGAGACTAACTTCATTTTGGTACCCTAGCCCTCTGTGGCTCAAGGTGTTGGCTCTCTGAGCAGACAGGAGGCTTTTAAGTAGCAAAGTTCCCTGCTCTCAGCAAGCCCAGCACCATGGGGAAGGGAGACACTCAGGAGACAGTACCACCCACCTTACCCTACCGTTCTGTTATGGAGGAGTATGGTTATGAGTTGGGCAAGGTCATTGGCAATGGCTCCTATGGGACAGTATATGAGGCTTACTATACAAAGCAGAAGGTCACAGTGGCTGTCAAGATCATCTCAAAGAAGAAGGCCTCTGAGGACTATCTGAGCAAGTTCCTGCCCCGTGAGATACAGGTTGGAAAGGGGACTGGAAGAGGGAACTGGTACCGAGCTGATTAAGGCTTCTCAGAAGGGACACGGTTAGGAGGGGGCAGGGCCAGAAACCCCCTTACCAGAACTGAATGTCTCACTAAGCTGCTAGGAAAATTACTTGATGTAAATTCAACCTCTTTCCACCTGCCCATTCACCTGCAGTCCCTAACAAAGTGAAAGTGCAAAGGACAGGGTTTGCCCACAGGCCACCAGCCCTCTAGGGTTCGGGTCTGTGGCAAAGCCCTGTGAAAGCAGCACTGGGAGAGTAGAAGGGCTGGGAGCACAGCCAGGGTTCTCCCTTCTCAGGTTTGGGGGGTCGCTCTTCTGGGGCCAGGTAATGAAGGTCCTGCGGCACAAGTACCTCATCAACTTCTATCAGGCCATTGAGACCACATCCCGAGTGTACATAATTCTGGAGCTGGCTCAGGGCGGTGATGTCCTTGAATGGATCCAGCGCCATGGGGCCTGCTCTGAGCCCCTTGCTGGCAAGTGGTTCTCCCAGATGACCCTGGGCATCGCCTACCTGCACAGCAAGGGCATTGTGCACCGGTGAGTATGCTGCCACCCAGAGTGGGGCTTTTGGGCTTTCAAAGGTGTTTTATGCATGTCTCCTATTTTCTGCCCTGTTCTTTCCTCCTTTGATCTCCCTGCTCAGTATCTAGGCCCATTCATTCACTCTATTTTAGTCACCTGGTCAAGAACATTTATTAAATACCCACTGTGAGCAGAGCACTTCACGAAATGGTGAGCTCCCAGAGCTCCTCAGGTACCATCCTGTCTCCTTTTTGGGCTCTGCCCACAAGCCCATGGCTCTCCTTCCTCTGCCTTGTGTCTTCATAATGGCGTCTCTCTCCCATTGTGCTTTTCCTCACCTCTAGCCTCTGGCTCTTCAGCTCTGGGTCTAATACTAAGCCCTCTCCCTGACCCCCAGCCTTTCTGCTGCTGGTAGGGACTTAAAGTTGGAGAACCTATTGCTGGACAAGCGGGAGAATGTGAAGATATCGGACTTTGGCTTCGCCAAGATGGTGCCTTCTAACCAGGCTGTGCGTAGTAGCCCTTCTTACGGCCAAATGAGCAGCTTTACCCACCTCAGCCAGACCTACTGTGGCAGCTTTGCTTACGCCTGCCCAGAGATCTTGCTAGGCTTGCCCTACAATCCTTTTCTGTCTGACACCTGGAGCATGGGTGTCATCCTCTACACTCTAGTGGTTGCCCGCCTGCCCTTTGATGACACCAATCTCAAGAAGCTGCTGAAAGAGACTCAGAAGGAGGTCACTTTTCCAAGTAACCTGTCCATCTCCCAGGAGTGCAAGGTGCTGGCTCCCCCAGTAGGACTGAGGCTTTGGGGATGACCCATAGGGTGGGAACCCATCCTAGGCCTCCCAACCCTGCCTTAGAATAGAAGGGCTTAAAGGACCAAAACTGGGCTCTGCACCTTAGATATGAGTGGTGAGCAGGATTCAGCTTCTTTTTAGGTCAGAGGGGATTATGCAAGGGATTCCCTTAAGGAATCCTTCCTTCTCTTCCCCTCCAGCGAGCTAAAGGTCTGGCTCTTCAGAATAAAATCAAAGCCACATCCCCTTCCATCAGAGTTGTGTGAAGGGCTATCCTGCTTCTTTCTTAGGTCCCCTGCTCATTGCCTGTGTGGCACAATGGGAGGCTCAGCCAAGACTTCTCTCTCCCCTGCCTTAGAACCTGATCCTCCAGACGCTATGCCAAGCCACCAAGCGTGCCACCATCCTGGACATCATCAAGGATCCCTGGGTGCTCAAGTTCCAGCCTGAGCAACCCACCCACGAGATCAGGCTGCTTGAGGCCATGTGCCAGCCACCTAGCACGGCAAATCGTCACCAATCCTTGGAAATCAGTATTTGAATGTGGCTGAGGCAGGGGGTTGAGAGAAGAGCAAAGCAGAAGGGGTCGGGCTAAAAATCTTTTATACCAAAAATAAATCAGTCTGATTTAGTTTCATCAACTGGGGTCAAAGACATTTTTTCCTGAGGGGAACCTTAGCAGGGAACACTGCTGAGGGTAAGAGGTAGACTTCTGCCCAGAGCCTGTAGCCAGTAATCTTGACAGCTCTTAAGTCCACAGTGTCATTCAGTGTAGCTCATACATGGCTCACGGGAGAGGGAGTGCTCAGAGGAACACCTGCTTTAGGGAAGTTTCATTATTCTGGCTAAGTACATGTTCATTATTTTATATCTCTTTGCACTTTAAATGTTCAAACCATAGGGCAGAGGACCTGGTTGGTTGTTCTTTAAGAAATGGGTATCAGGATATGTGAAATATTTTGGTTCCTTCTTCCTCATCCAAATTCACTATTGGAACAATCCTAGTGAATCACAGCACCTCACACTATTGCTCCTAGACACAGAAGTGACAGTTCAAACCAAGTCTATTAACTATGGGTTCCAAATAACGCAAAGTGACTCGCCCATTTATCCCTGTAGTCTCCCTCCCTGTCCTTGAAAATGGGCTTTGCAAAAGGAAAATGGGCAGTTGTCTTGAAATCATGAAGTTGTCTTGGCAGAGGCTGACTGGGGGAAAATGACGAGGGAAGATGCAGAGACAGCTCCACTTCTACGATAGGTAATAGATGGCAGTTTCCTCAACTTCAGTCCTAGGCAGCTCTAGTACACACCAGCTTGAAAGATGAACCTAGTAAGTAAGGTATTAGAAACATTTGCTCTGTATTCCAATGCCCCTTCATTACTCCTGTTATTATTCATGGCTTGAAAAAAGCTCCAAGGACCAGGGGAAGAGTTTCAGGTACAGATGAGGCAGTATAAACACTAGGGTTCCATCTGCCCAATTTTATTGAGGACAAGGGCTCTGTAACTGCTATCAAAGACAAGGGAGCTCCAAAGCTCCTCCGGCACCAAGATCCTTCTTTACAGTTGAGCCAGAGATGGGAGGGCAACAAACACTTTTCAGGCAGGGCTATACCACCACCCTCAGCGTGGCCTCCCAAAAAGGCTATGTTCCTTTAGCTCAGCACTTGGCACTTAAGGAAAAGAGACCAACGAAGGCAGCATCAAGAAGATAAGCCCAGACTCATCAGGATACCCATCCAGCCAACTGCTTTAGTGCTTCTTCATCTTCATCCGCTTTGGGAGCTTTGGGGACAAGAATATCCAGAGAAAGATGTGTTAAGGCCTCAGCACCTTCCAACCCCCACTACAACACTCAGAACCTGCTGAATTCTCTCCCCCCAGCAACGGGCCCAAAGGTATGGTCCTTCTGCTTGCTGGGCTGCTGCTAATCCCATATCTTTGTGCAGCTTTTTTAAAAGTTGCGTGTTTCTTCCAGCATTTGCAGCCCTAAGTCAGGGCACACAGCATGCTGAGTGGAGCACAGGCTGGATTTCTGGTCCCATTCCTCTTTAGCCAGGCGCCCTTATGCAGTCAACAACCTGTGCAACTTTAGCAGCTGCCCTTTCTGCCTGGTTCCTCTGAAGCAGGATGGATGAGGAAGAATCCTTCCTCCTATCTAACCCACCCTCTCAAGTCCTTGAGACATGAGAGCAGCTCTGGGTACCTGGCCCTGCCGGCAGATGTGTAGAGGGTACACTGGGCAGTGTGATTGGGGGTTCTTCCTCCTTGTCATCCACGTGTAACAACTCCTGGGCCAATTCCTCCTGCTCCAGCTCCTCCAGCTCCTCCAACAGTTCATCCTGGATAGGGGACAAGACTGTTTAAGACGAAGAAAGGAAACTTCTGCTTTTAAAAACATACCACTTTCACAATTCCCTCTAAAATTGCCCCATGATTCTCTTCAACATTGACTTTGGCTGCTCCCATGCTTTCTCCGAGACTTCCTAACCCCACACCCCCAATCACCTCATCCACATCATCTCCAAAGCCCACAGGCCGAGAAATGGCATCAGAGATCTGCTGGGCCACCTCCTGTTGTTCTGTGATGTTGGCCATCAGTTCATCTACCTTGTCAATGTCCCTGAGAAAAAGACATATAGCCAAGAAATCAGACAATTACCCCCTGACTTTCTCATCTCACATGAATGACACCGCTTCTGTCTGTGGCCTCAGACTGATAAATCCATGGCCACCAGGTAGAAGAAATCCCTGGAAAATTGTAACTAGGCAAGTCTGGGCTGAGAAATGGCAAGAATCCACACTGGGCAGGAGATGAAGGGGGTCAGGGGGCGAAAGATTGCACTCCCTTCTCTGAAGGATCTTTAAAAATTAGGAGAATCATCTTTCCTTACTAGAATGCCCCAGCCAGAAAAGGGATGTTCTTGCAGGAAGCAAGGACGCTGACAGAAGTCTAGCCACCATCAGTGTCTGTACTGTAAACTCCCATTGAGAGGTTTTAAGATCCAAAGTACAATACCAAGCTACTATCCCCAGTACTTGGGCCCCCTCCGCCCCTTCCCCCATACCCACATGTCCTGGTAGGCTTTCTTCATGCCATGGGCGGCAAGCTCCATGGTGCGAAGCACTTCTGCATTGGTGGTGGCATTCTCAATGGCCTCACGCTGAAACTCCAGGGTAGATAATGTCCCATCAGTTTGTGCCAGCTGCTGTTCCAATCTTTTCTTCCTCCGTAAAGCCTGTAGGGCAGCTGACCCAGTCCACACCTTGAACATCAGTCAGAAGCCCCTGCTTCGTACCTGGGTCCTCCCTGTCGGTACCTTTCCCCTATTACCTCTCTTATTCTTGGTCCCATGCTTCTTCGCTGTTTGTAGCTCCTGTTGAATCTTCTGCTCCAGAAACTCCTGTTTCTTGATCAGTATCTTCTCTGTCTCCTTCAGTTTCTGTATAGCCTCTTCCGGGGTTGGCCCCTTCTCCTTCTTCCCTGGAGTCCAGTGGAAAAGGCCCATATTGTGTGAAGGAAAATAAAGTTACCCACCAATCATGAACGCATATTATGTGCTAGGCATTTGACTCTTGTTATTTTAGTCTTAAAATGACTGTTTGCAATGAATGCATTATCTTTACAAATGTGAAAACAGGCATAAAGATACCAAACTTTTTGTCTAAAATCACAACCAGTAAGAGACTGAGCAGTAGTTGAAATGTGGCAACATGAATTCCAAAGCCAGTACTCCTTTGCTATCCAAGCTTGACTGGAATTTCAAATCATTTCCAGTCTTTAAAAAAAACGTTTATAGATTTTCTTTTAAAAAATATTTTATTTATTTATTTTTTAGAGAGAGGGGAAGGACAGAGAAAGAGAGGGAGAGAAACACTGATGTGAGAGAGAAACTTTGATCAGTTGCCTCTAGCAGGCATCCTGACTGGGTACTGAACTCAAAACCCAGGCCTGCGCCCTGACTGGGAATCAAACCCGCAACCTTTTGCTTTGTGGGGCGACACCCAAATGAGCCACACTGGTCAGGGCTAGACTTTATTTCTTAGAGCAGTTTTAGGTTCACAGCAAAGTTGAGTGGAAGGTACAGAGATTTTCCATATCCCATCTTCACTCACATATGCATAGCATCCCCATTATCATTCCCATACCAGAGTTCAGTTGCTTTTTATAATCACTGTCCCACTTGCCATATTGCAGGACATACACAAGGTCTTGACATCACAGGTTCAAACTGAATGAAGTACAGGGAGCTAGAGAACAACAAAAAAACTGACCTTATTTTTCTTTCATCTTCTGCACTTTTGAGAGTTATTTCCCTCCATCCCCCACATCTGATGGCCCTTGCCTACTTAAAATCCTTCCATACTCTCTACTGTTTATGGATAAAATCCAAAACTTAAAAAAAAATTTTTTTTTATTGATTTGAGAGAGGAATGGGGGGAGAGAGGAGAGTGGGAGAGCAAGAGGGACAGGGAGAGAAACATTAATTTGTTGTTCCACTTGTTTATGCATTCACTGGTTGATTTTTCCATGTGCCCTGGCCAGGGACTGAACCTGCAACCCTGGTGTATCCGGATAACGCTCTAACCAACTGAGCTACCCAGCCAGGGCAAAATCCAAAACTTAAAAAACATTTTTTTTTTAAAATTCTCACACAAGGTTACTGATTTAGAGAGAGAGGAAGGTGGAGAGGGAGAGAAAAATATCAGTCGATTGCCTCCTACATGCGCCCCCACCGGGGATGGAACCCACAACCAAGGAATATGCCCTGACCAGGAGTGGAAACCTAAACCTTTTCGGTTTACGGGACAATGCTCCAAACAACTGAGCCACCCGGCTAGGGCCCAAATCTAAAACTTTTCAAAAGGGATTTACAAGGTTCTTTTTGGCTGTTTACCTCTCCAACTATACTTCCTTTTACTTTCCTCTTCCCTTCAGCACGCACAGGGCAACTAGAACTACTCTTTCTTCTCATTAAAACCATCCTTTTCCCAGCCTCTGTTTTGCACATACACGTAGTTACCTCTTCCTGGGGTACCTCAATTCTCCACCTGGTATACTAGCCTTCTGGACGCCGACACCTGCTTCTCCTGTGCTCCCCTGGTTCTCAGGAACATTTCCACCATATAGTGCTACACTACGCTGTAAAAGCCAGTTTCTGCTGGTCTTCCCCCACCAGATGGGAGCTTTGAGAAAGCTCCTTTCTTTGCCACCACAGATTCCCCCTTGCCCAGCATCAAGTAAGCTCCAATTTTTGAATAAAAAACTGGAAACTGGTCGCTAAAATCTAAGCAGTAGGAGCCACCACAGTACACCACTCCTGTCCCTTCGCTGTCCTCGAGCTCTTCCTTCTGGTGCAGAGGAGGGAAGGCACAGCCTGGTTCCCTGACAAGGTGGGGCCTCCTGACACCAGAAGCCTTGCTGGTCCATCACCAGGATTTTCGGTGAAGCCTGTCTCCTGGTTTCTTCGCCAGGGGCCGTGGTCTCTCCCCCACTCCCTGTGGCCAGCGCCTCCGGGCTGACCCGTCTTGCCCGGGCTCACCCCTCCCGAAGAGCCGGTTTAGACCACTCATCGCAACACTGGCCTCTCCGCCTCTGGCCCACGGCGTCCTGCACACTTCCGCCTTGTTTCTGGGAGAGTGCATCTCGTCACTCAGACGCGGGCCTCAGCCAATCCCTCCTTGGGTTTCCGCGGTGACATCATCAACAGGCGCCAAGGAGGCCACTTCTATCACGTGATGTTCCAAATCCAGACGCTCCTCTTAAAGGGGCTGCTTCATTTTCAAGTATAAAAAGGGATGCCGCCTCAAAAACAAAGCATTTGTTTCCTGGAAGTGTGCAGGGTAATGCACCCCGCTACCTGGGGCCAGTGGAAGATTTAGCTCTTTATGTCCTTGACAGCTCAGGAGTGAGGATGGGGCGAGCACAAAGGGATCAGTTTTGGGTTTGCCACAAGGTTCTAAGGAAGAACCAGATGCCGTCTAATGCCCCCCACTCCGGTCTTGACCTCTGGTTCACACGCAAGAAAAACAAACAACCCCACATTGTGGGTAAGGTTTCTTCTGTCACACACAAATACACTTTAATAATTTACACATGCACCTGAAAATGCTTTCCTGATTTCCTTCAGTTTTATACCCCTCAAATGAGGCTCATCCACAGGACTGGACCTCAGGGTCCAGCTTGGGCCTTTGCAAATGTCTCTAATCCTTGAGTTAGGATTTGAAGACTCATTCCATTCTGGACGTGAATGCAGGTAACACCTAGAAAGAGAGACCTCATGTTATACCTACTCCCTCCTAGGCACTCTTTCTCCCCATTTCCCAAATGGTATTCTCACCACTCAGTACCCAGTTTGCTGACGTCTACAATATTGCGCTTCTCATCATCAAAGAAGATCATCTGGGAGAAAGGAACTCCAGTCTTCTGCTTTAGCCTGTGCAAGACAGGGCAGGTGGTAACCACGCTGGCTTCTTAGCTCCTCCGGTCTCTCTGCTCTTTTCTTCCCCTGCTTCTACCCTCATGTCCCGCGCATACCTCTCAAAGTGTGTGACCTTGCTGCCTGGATAGATCTCCCGCTGAACAAAGTATCTGACAAGGCCAAAGAGCTCCAGTAGCTGGTTGGCCCCTTCAATTTCACCTGTCCTGCAAAAAGGTATAGTGGATAGGATCAGGAGAGTGGAGCGCCAGAGCTGCGACTGAAGTTATGTATAACCAGGGGGAAATCAACTTGTTTTTCCAGGATGGATGCGTAGGCTTCCTGGGCCCTTATTCTACTCCATATCCTTCCTGTCTGACACAAGTGGCACCAAGCCAATGTTTAAAAAATAAAAGGCACAGGAGGTCACAGTTTCAAAACGTACGATACTTGCAAATTTGCACCACCTAAATTTTTGTAACACGAGGAATCTTACGCTTGCATCTGTCAACATTAGATCGACAGTTTTTTTCAGTCGCTCTTACCGTGAAGCGGCTGCGATGGGCACCCCTAGGCCCTGAAACTGGTCCAGGACCTTGGGCACCTCTGGGTACAGTCGGATGGTCTGGCCTCGCCTATCTCGTACAGTTCCATCACTGGAGAAAGTGAGAGTACGCTCAGCTCCGCCTGGCCCGCCTGGCCCCAGTCCTCCCCCGCCCGTCCTCACCTGCTCTTGTGGAATGGGGGGTCTACATGCGTGTCTACCCAGAATGGCCAGAGCGTATAATCTGCAAGAGAAAGAAAGGAGGGCAGGTTCAGCTTGGAGGAAGCAGGGCCTCGAGAGCTGCAAGTGGGGTTTGGAAAAGGAGAGTGCCCTACGGAATTCTACACAGTTGGGTCCCTCACCCAGATCGAAGACAGCGAGCTTCGGGAGCCGCTCCATCACCAGTGCCCGAAGGCTGCGCTTCCGGAGGCACACGGAGGCGGGGCCTTCTTCAGGGCCATAGAGTGCCCACCTTCGGCTGCGAGGCCGCCGGGCCTGCCTCAGAGAAACGAGGGTTAGAGAGTCCTTACGGCGAGCTGCGGCCAAAGCCGGGAGACCGCACCAGAGCGCCACCTGATGGTGGAAAGGGAAAGGACTGCAGCTAGTGCCACCGCGCCAGTACAGCACACCACAGTGGTCTCCAAGTTTCTCCTTCTCTCACTTCTCTGCTCCTCCTAGCCTCCCCAGATTCTACTAAATTAGAGACGCCATGGAAAAGAAACCCTTTCTTGCGGCACTGGTCTCACCTTCCATCTTACTGACACTTAAGTGACCCATCATAGCTTGTGTCATTTTTTTTTAAATTTATGGTTTAGAGGGGGAGAGAAACATTATTGTTCCACTTATTTATGCATCATCGGTTGCTTCTTGTATGTGCCCCGACTGGAGATCAAAACTGCAACCTTGGTGTGTCATGACATCCCTCTGACCAAATGAGCTACCAGTCCAGGACTCTTCACTCAAACTGTGTTATTATCAGCATCTTTCCAGTGTGTATAGCCCAGAGGCCTCAGCAATATTCCAGCCATAAGGAATGTGGTGTCTGTAAAACCTATCAGGCCTCTCTCAAATCAGGCCCAAATGTCCAGTAGGGCCACAATGAGAATTCTCTCCTGGTTTCTATCACCCATGTCAGTAGTATAATAGATATATAACCACCGGTTTAGGGAGAGGGGTTGATTTGTATTGTTTGCCAATTCCTACCTACCACGGCCAATTTCAAACTACAACATGAGGTTTCTTAACATGGGGTTGGAAGTAGATACTAATAACTAGGTCTCATGATCTGGTAAGAGCTGACTCCAGTACACCACTGCCACGAAGTCTGGTAATCTTCCAAGGGCACTTCCCTTCCCTTGTCCCACTCCTTCAGCCTGGTATAAATAGGTGTGCATTTGGTCCATTTTGATTTCAGTCATATTTGTGCAACAGAAGAAAGATTTCAGGAGGCCAGGAGTCTTTTATATTTTATTTTATTGCGAACCAGGGACATAGTCACAAGAGAAGGAAGTACATAGGTGTGCAAACTGAAACCCAATAGCCAGGAAGGGTCCTTTGGCCCAGAAACACTGCATCCTGGGGTCTTCACAGTCTCCTACCAGTAGACACACAAGACTGGGCATCCAGGAGAGGGGGCAGTCACTCTGGTGTTCCAGAGAGTGATAGGATATATGATGCCTCATTACGAGGAACAGGGTAAAGAGGTAAAATGGAGAGAGGGTCCATCACTGTCTGAGACCACCTCCTCCTCTTAGAGCCAACACCAGATGGAGGACTGAACCACCTAGGATTTTATAATCAGCTGCTGTCTTCTCATCATTCCTACAGGAAAAGGAGGCACAAAAAGGAATAGAAATATCACGCAGACTAGGGCTCTTAACCTGGGTTTCATGGATCTCCCTGGGGGTCTATGAACTCAGATGACAAACAAATTAACATCTTTATTTTTAATAACTGCAAACTGAAATCTGATTATTTCTTTAAATTTTGAAGACAGGCAAAACCCCACGGTGGCATTTAGCAATATGGGTAACCTATTAACAATAGAAATTAAATATTTTCATACCATATTACAATTGTTTGCAGGTATCTTGAAAATATTTCAAAATTATTGTAGTATTAGACCCACTGTTAGATCTAAATGTATTAATAAAAAAGCACATATATTACAAATTTGCCTTTTTAATATTTTGATAACTGTATTTCTATGTAATTAGTTTCTTCGGTAATTCTATGGATTTTATGTCTGCTAAAATCTTATTCTGAGCAGGGGTTCATAGGCTTTACCAAATTTCCAAAGGGTGTCATCCACCAATAAAAAGAAGCAGGCCTGCTTCATCTCCCGTATTTGCTCCCTCACCTTCACAGAAGATTCCCACACCCTCATTCCCATTTGAAACTCACATCTGTTTACCACTGTAGATGAGCCGCTGCTGCTGTGGAGGGATTCCCTCTTTCTCTTCCACACGTTCCTTGATTCGCTCCACCTTTAGGGGTACAAGTAGTCAGGGGCTACTCATGGTAGGTAGGGGTGGGACCATGGAAGTGGAAACAACAGCGCTATGCAGACAGCATGAAAGCAAAGGACTAAGTTCCTCAGCACATCCAAACAAATGCACACACAGGGAGATAAGCATGAAGAGGTGTTGGGCATTACCTTGTCTGTGGGTTCAATGTCAATCTCAATCTCCTTTCCGGTCAGCGTCTGAAATAGGCAAGTGTTTCATGAATCCTACAGCCCAATATACAATTTATCTTCTAGGTAAAATGTCCTGTCCTGGTTTCTGGGGATCTACCACCTTCTCAGAGATGCACATTCTTGGCAAAGCTGCTCTGAAGACTCAAAAGGCTTTGACCACACCTGTATTCATCAAACATTCCTAGGCTGTGGACAAGTTTGAGAGGGAAAGATTCAACCTTACTCCCAGAGGTCATTTCACATTCCCCACCCCACTATGAGAATACTGGTATTCCTTTGCTTGAGACAGCAGTGAGAGGTGTCCAAAAGAAAGCATTCCTTTGAGTTAGAAGCACCTTGTTTTACATGTCAACAACAGAAATTAACATTGAGATAATTTATAGAATTCTCAAGGACACCAGAGATCACCTCCGACCAGCTTTTCCCGTATCTTCTCCAGGCTTCTTTGTAAATCCTAAATTTCAGCTCTGGTCTTCTTCCATAGCCTAAGGACTGGTGTCCAAACACAATGTACTGATTGTACACTTTAAAATGTTGTCCTCCATTCAATCTAATCTCTCATCCATCCTTGCTCTGAAAGCTCCTATCTATACCAGTCTACAGTAATCCAGACTACAGACACACAATGTATGGTCTAATTTAGGGGCATTTCTTTTCTTTTATTGTATTCCTTTTTGTCATACCCTTCCCCACTTTTTCTCAAACCTTCAAGGACCCTTTAAAATAAGATTAATGACTTGTCCCCAATGCACTTTAATATCCATTACAGCTAGCTATTTTAGGTGTCAAACTCTCCAACTTCCTAAAGGACAGAGACTGTTCTAATCTAAGCACAAAGCACAATATTTGACATATAAGCGATCAAAAAATATTTGTGGGAGGGCTAAATGCACTGTTGATCATGTTATAATCACAGCCAACACTTACTGAACACTTTACAAGAATCAAAAACTGTGCCGAGTGTCTTACATGTATCAATATGGTTAATCCTTGCTAGTATTTATGAGATATGAACTATTACTATTGACAATTTATAGATGAGAAAAATGGGGCTTGGGCAAGTTAAAAAGCATGACTATGGAATCAAAAGGAGGGTGTGGATCTAAATACAGGCTCCCTGGCCTGAGCTCTTAGCTCTCTGTACTCAGTACTGCCTAAGTCTGACTGATCTAGCACTGAGACCCAATCTACGCTCCTGTGATTAAGTGCATAAAATAAGGTATGGTTTCTACTTATGGTATTCACATAGACCAGCATGAAGACAGTACTCAGGCTTAATTTTTCAAGTATGAGAATGGTTCAGTCCTAATTATATAGTATTTCCAAAAATGCACGAGTAGCTCCCTCGGCTTTACTTGTTTGGACGCAAAAGAATAAATTACAACAATGACTCTCAGGTTTCTACCCCAACCCAAGCTGAGATGTGTGAAAATTTTTAATAGTCTATGATAAAATGAGAAAAATACTGACAGCAACGAGATTTTCATGAAACCAAATATATTCAGGTGTTAAAATGTCTTTTTGTGAAATGACAGTGAAAATAATTGGTAACTTCTCTTAGACCCTCTCCTGACAAAATGAAAAGTGTGCAATTCTGTGTTGTACAAAAATTATTTCACTTTATTGATCATAATACTTTAAGTGCGAAGATTCTTCAACCAGACAATTCTATTTATAGGTAAGTAAATTGGAGGAAAAATTTAAGGATGTGTCCAAAGAGGACCATGTGCACCTTTTGCAAAAGCAGAACACTGGAAATAGCCTAATGCCTAATAATAAGAAAACTATTACGCTATGGTACATCCACAGAATGATAGATTTTTTTTAATGCAACAATTTATACACTAACATGGAAATATCTAAATAATGTATAATTATATATTATTTTCTATATGTAAATATGTATGTACATGTACAGAAGAAAGGATTAAAAGTATACATATCTCTTATAACAGTGATTATCTTTGAGAAGGGGAGTAGCACTGAAGGGAGGGTTTTTCAGGGGTTACTCTCCCTTTACCTGTGCTAAATTTCTAATAATAATTTCTTTATTGCATGAATATTAAGAAACAGATGTTCATTCTGACTTAATAATAGAAAACGTTAAAGAGTCAGAAAGAGGGCTGTTCTGTCTGTGGCATAGCCCCCTCTGTCTCACTGCTTCACTAATAAACTCATTTTCACTTAAAGCTCTAAAAAAAAGAGTAAAAATGATTCTAAGAGAAGGCCTAGGACTGTTCTCCCAAGAGTGAGATGCTTGGACTTTATGACATTTAGAAAAAAAAAAAAAATTGGTTTGTAAAAATCTAAAACTCTAGGACTGGCCCTATGTTTTTGAAATTGACTGTAGAAGCCCATGACCGTATGCAGAAAGCAATCTGGCAATATGGTCTCCCAGCAACAACAGTTTTGGAAAAATAATCATGACTACATACAAAAATAGACCTTTAACATTGGTCATTGAGCCTTTTGATACTGAAAAACTAGAAACACAAACTAAATATCAAATAATTGAGGGTTATATAAATTATGGTACAAAGAGGGAAAATTACACAGTCCTCAATGTTCAGAATAATGGTATAATTCCAATTTTGTATTTAAAAAAAAAACAACACCAACAATGAACAACAAAAACCCTCAAGTATATGTATCTGCTTTCAAAAAAGTTGGGAAGGACATGTATACATCAGTGCTTTTATCTTGAGTTGTGAAGTTACAAGTACTTTAATTATATTATTTTGGCTTTTCTCTATACCCCATTTTATATACCATGAATATATTGTAATGAGAAAAAAGTATTTTTAAAACAAATTTCTTGAGTCCTGGCTGGGTGGCTCCGTTGGTTGGAGCGCTGTCCCATACACCAAAAGGCTGTGGGTTCAATCCCCAGATAGGGCGCACACATAGGATGCAGGTTCAATCCCAGGTTGGGGCACTATGGGAAGCAACCCACTGATGTTTCTCTCTCACAGTTCAAGTGTTCAGTAGCCCATGTGGTTAATGGTTACTATATTGGACACTACTCAAGCATTACAGCTCAAACAACAATAAAATAAGGATATCCCCATTTTGTAACTTCCAATGAAATAACAGATCTAACATCATAGAAAGCAAAATAACCTAACAGAAGTACACACCATTCTACTATCCCTAAATTATTTTCACACATGAACACACAGAAAAGACTAATCAAGCCTCTAGATCTTATTACCAACTCACAAGAAAAACAGATCAAAGATGAATATATTAAAAACAAGGAGATATAATCAACAAAATCCAAACCGTATGAAATTCTATGGGACAAACAACACAGTTTATTTGACAAAGAAAAAATAGAGAAAAGGGTGGTTATAGATTTAAAGAGGCTTAAAATACATTTCAACCAACTGCAATGTATCTTAGTTGGATCCAGATTCAAACTAATGGTAAAAAATAAATGAGACTATAGAGTAAATTTGATGATAGTAAGAAAGAAATCACTGTAAATATTTTAGGTGTGATAATTATAGTTATCTTAGAAAAAAGGAGTTATTTTTTACAGCTAAATACTGAAACACGTATGAATACCATATACTGGGATTTGTTTAATAAAACATCAGGTAAGGAGAGTTGGTGAGTATAAACAGGATTCACCATGAAATGGTAGTTTTTGAAGCTGGGTAAAGGGTCTCTCTCTGTGCTGTTGTATATGTTTGGAAATGTCCGTAATTAAAAAGTATCTAAACAATTTTAAAAGACATTCTTGATATATCATGTGATATTGGGTTTCTTCCCTCAAGATCTGCTCATTGTGACCCAGGAATGCATTCAATACTATTTAACAAGTCTATGATGCACCTAAGCCCCACATACTGCTTTAGGCACTGGAGGGGGTATAACAAGAAATTAAGTGACCCAACCTTTGCCGACAATCTTTTTCAAGTGAAGATTTACAACCAAGAAACAATGACCCATACAATTAAGAGAACCAACTTGTACAGAACACAAGGAAGTGCCATATTGAATATTGTCCAAATATAAGGTGCAATGATAAAGTGCTATGGTGAGTAAAAATCTACGCTGATTAATTTCACACCCACTATCGTAGCTAAAAGAAAAATGACTAACATGACTAAAATTCAGCAAGGGTGCAAAGCAGCTGGAATGTTCATCCATTGCCAAGTCGGAATGTAAAAATGGAACCATCTCTTGGAGAACTGTTGGGCAGTTTCTTTTCAAGCTACATATATCTACCACATGATCCACTAATTCAAAGGAAAAACCTATATCCACAAAAGCCTTGTATACCAATGTTCATAGGAGCCTTATTCATAATGGCTAGAAACTGAAAACAAGCAAAACGTCCATCAACAGGAGAATGGATAAACAAATTGGGATACAGCTATTCTATGGAATATTACTCAGTTGTAAGGTACAGACACACTCAACAACAGATGCAATACTGAGTGAAATAAGCCAGACACAAAAAGTATATATTGTATAATTACATTCATATGAAGTTCTAAAATAAGCAAAACTAACCTATGGAAACTTTCAAAGGGTATGAATGCAAATATTCTATAGAACACTGCTCAGTCATAAAAAAGAAGAAAATTCTACCCTTTGCGACAGCATGGATGGACCTGGAGACCATTATCCTAAGTGAAATAAGCCAGTCAGAGAAAGACAAATACCATATGACTGCACTCATATATGGGAACTAATTACAAATTGAACTAACAAGCAAAATAGAGACAGATTCATAGAGAGAGAGCAGGATGACAGCTCTGGGGTGGAGGAAGTAGGGCGCAGAGGGAGCCAGCAAAAAGGAAAAGGGACTCATGGACATCAACAGTGTGGTGATTGCAGGGGGGAGGGGGGTACTAAGGGGAATAAATGGTAATGGAAAAAATTTTTTTAATGTTTTAAATCTTATGGTTACACGAGTAGGTACTGTAGTTAAAAAATCACTGAACTGAAGCCTTAAGAACTTTGTGTTTCACTCTATGTTTAAAGAAAAAAAACTTGAAGAAGCTGAACAAAATGAGTGAGAACTCCAACCGTCGTTCTCATCGGATCTGAGGTAAAAAAAAAAAACAACAAAAAACAACTTGAATGAGAAAAATGGGGTTTAGATAGTAAAGACAGTTACCCAAAGTAATCTGCTAAGAGGGTACCAGGGCAGGATCTGGGGTAAGAGAGCAATACGATCCAAAAGAAATTTAAAGCCCTGGCTGGTGTGGCTCAGTGGATTGAGTGCTGGCCTGTGAACCAAAGGGTTGCCAGTTCGATTCCCAGTCAGGGCACATGCCTGGGTTGCAGGCCCAGTCCCCAGGAGGGGCCGCTTGAGAAGCAACCACACATTGATGTTTTTCTTCCTCTCTTTCTCCTTCCCTTTCCCTCTATAAATATAGATCAGTAAAATATTTTAAAAAAAGAAAAAGAAAGTTTTAAAGAAGATCTGTATACTACGATATTGTATATCATGCCTTGGTTTAGACTCTAAACTTTAGAAGGAGTATGGCCATAAGAAAACCTGGTTGGAGATAACACACAGAAATAAAGACATAAGTTAATGAGACCCAAGACCAGAATAAGGTTAATGGGAATGAAAAGAAAATCAAGCAAAAAAGAGGCATCAAAGGAAAAATTAGGTTCTATAAGGGAAAAATGACTCTAAAGAACTGAGTTCCAGATATCTGGTAGATATGAAGGATCAATATATTAGATGAGTATTAGGGAGATGGCTTAAAGCAGAAGATGATATAGTTAATTTTAGAACAATCAAGTATCGAGAGATTTAAATCAGAAGGATTTGTAAAGGACTGCAGAAATAGACATGGAAGAAGTCAGTTAAGAAAAGAGGAAAGGAGTCCTGCCAATAAAACACATCATGTATATAATAATTAACAGTTACTAATCACTTGCATATATATTTAACATATCGAGAAACGCAGCAAACAAAAAAAGAGGAGGACAGAGAAACCTGTTTAAAGGCAGAAAGGAAAGTGTTTCAGAGGAGCAGACTGACAATCTTAGAGAAGTACTAAAAAAATGAATTCAAAGAGGCAAAATCTAGAACGTTGCTACTCAAGCAGCATCAGCATCACGTTAGAAATGCAGAATCTCGGGTCCCACCCCAGACCCAATGAATGTTAGAATCAGTATTTTTACAAGATCCCCAGGTGATTCTTAAGCTCTTTTGAGTTGAGAAGCCCATCTATAACACAGGTTTTTAAATTGCAGATCTCAACAATCAGTGGCTTATGAAGTCAACTTAGAATAGAATTGTAAATGTCAGAGCACATCACACATAGTGTTTTTGTGTCTGTCTGGAGCATCAGGTAAAATTTTTTAGTGTAGCTTGAGATTTTTTAAAAGTTTACAACACGCTGAACACCAAATATAGTAATAACCTGTTCTTTGGACTAAGCGAATACTAAAGGGACACAAGAAACCTTATTCATTAAAAAGAAGATAAAAGCATTCATCTGCTAGTGTTCCTGATACTTTTTTTTGACAGTGACCCACACTAAGAAATACATATGAACTAGTAACATATATGTGCATGTAATACACATATAAAAAGAAAAAAATTCAAACAATACTCTTACCAAGAAGTATATCTTGCTATTTCTATTTTCCTCTTTTTTTTTTAATGTTGCTTGCAAGCCATTGAACCATTAAATTGATTTCACAATTAGTAACGCTTATAGGTTACTACTCAAAGTTTGAAAAACAATGTATTTGGCCATGTGTTTTGCCCTCAATCCTTGACTAAGAGATTGTCTGGAAGAACTGAAGAGGTTAAGAATGGCTATTATGTATGGTAAATACAATCAGGAGCTGATGAAATAACGACAGACTTACCGAGCAGTAAAGAAGCCAAACTAATGTTGCACTGCATCAATAAAAAAAAACAAAACAGGTTTTTACCTCTGTATGCAGGTACAAAAGAGAAAATAGCAAATAGGGCTACCAAGGGTTGGGAACAGAAGAACCACGAAAGTTGAGAGATGGAGATGAAGGATATACTGCTACTACCAAGAAGTAGGGCACTGATAACCAACCTGCCTCAGTCAAGGAAATGAGAGTGGTCCAGAATGCCTGGCTCAGAAAGGCAGGTACGGACAGAACACACTCCTAGCTTTGGTTCCTGCAGGCTGCCTGAGATACTACACCTTGGCGAGAACCAGCAAAGGCTTACAGTATAGCCTCTGGAGGACCCCCATTCCCCAGGCTAACGTTTTTGTGCTATGCTCAGAGGCACCCTATGGCAGGGGCTGGGAGAAGCAGGGAAGCTGCGCAGGAAGACTGAAGATCAGATCTTATTATTCCAAGAACCTAAGAGAGAGGGGAGCCTAGCTGCCACCCTGACAGCTAGGGTTCGAATACATCGAGAACCTGGACAAAGGAAGCCTCCTTCTGGGTAATGCCACTGTTCTTGCGAGAAAGCCGGTACGGCAGAAACCCCGCGGTTGTCTGGCTAGGCCAGCCCCCAGCAATTAAAGACCTCCAGAGTCCCCCTACTTCCCATCACCCCTCGCGCACAGCCCTGAGGCTGTCATCGCCCTCCAGGCTCGGAAAAGGCGTGGTTTCCCTTCCCCGCTTCTCCGGTAATGTACAATGACCAACCCAGTACCACAGCGTCTTGGCAAAGCTGGAGGTGCTCCCACCTTCACTTTAATTAGCATCTTCTTCCAAGATGGGGGCTGCACACAGATAAATTGCCGCTTCCACTGCTGCGATCGCCGCTGCCGCTCCCCTGCACTCCGCCTCTGGGAATTACTTCTTCTTCCGGGTCACTGTCTGGCTCCACCCCCTCCCCCACCCTTTTTATCCCCGGGGTTCCAGAAAGCCTCAGAAATGCTCTCGCGTTTCGTTTAGGTGGCGTCGTAAAGAAAAAGAAGGCGGTCCGCTCAGTTACAGCAGAGATAACTCTTTCGCGATTCTGAGAGTCCCTAACGAGCCGGTTCTAGTGGAGAGGCGGAGCGGAACGAACTGCTCCCATAACGCCAGGGGCAGCTCCGCGCGTTCCACCCTGGGAGTTGTAGTCTTCTGCCCCTCTGATCTTAACGGCAACCTCAGTGTTTGAACTCTGTTAACCAGAAGCCCTCGCACGGCCGCTGCGGAAGGTGGAATTCCTCAGTTATTCGTTCTAGCCCGCAATTAGCGGAACCTGTTGGATTGGACTTCAAGGCTCTGCGGGGCTGCACGAGGTTAGTTACTAAGTAAGGGGCACTTCGGTCAACTGCCACTTTGACCACGACGACAGGAAATAAGTACTCCTGTTACAGAAACTGGTTATGAGACTTCCCCCGCATTCTTTCGCGCCCCCAAATCACCCTCTTAGCTCAGATTACTTTTTTGCAGGGGCTGGAAAAGGAAGGGTAGTGGGGAAAGGAATGTACCTCCTTAGGGCCACTCACGACTCTATCCGAATTCTCCCCTGGGATGGGGACACGGAGGGTAATTGTAACCATGAGACGGGTCGGAGGTGACGTCTTCAGGGATCAGCCGCGCCCTGACTTTCCACAATTTAGCCGAGAGAGATGAGCCCTGCTTAAAGCCTTAACAGGGCATTAAGTCTTGTTATTGATTCAGCTCCTCTTTCATGTATTGTCTTTTTGTTTCAACCCAGATTCGTTGCTACCCCGAGGCCCCCGCCATGCCTCACATCGATAGCGATGTCAAACTGGACTTCAAGGATGTCTTGTTGAGGCCCAAACGTAGTACCCTTAAGTCTCGAAGTGAGGTGAGCCTGCTTGCCCTGGTGGACCAGGACTGAGAGAGATACTTGGTCCTTATCCTCCTGCAATACTTGTTTTTTGGATGAATGAAATCCTGTTTCCTCTTCGTATCTGCAGGTGAATCTCACAAGATCCTTTTCATTTCGCAACTCAAAGCAGATGTACACTGGGATCCCCATCATTGCTGCCAATATGGATACTGTGGGTACCTTTGAGATGGCCAAGGTTCTCTGTAAGGTAGGACTTCTCTTATGCTCCTTCCTCAGTGGTATCCAGTTATGTGGACTGACTGAAGAGTTATTTGCATCCGCATCCCCATCCCAGGTCAACTCTCCAGCAATTAACAGTCCAGATGCTACAATTTACTATTTTCTCTAGTACTATGGCCCCTCTATCTGGTTAGTTCAAAGAGCCATGTGAGTTAATGAGATTGAAGCTAAATTTTGCCCCCATTATTTTTGCTATATAAACAGAACTTTCCCTTTTCTCCTGTCCAGCAGTTTATACACATTGCCAACTTTTCCCAGCACCAAGGTCTCCCCCTCAAAATAACATGCTTCTCTCCAGTTACAACATTGTTAGGAAACTAAGCATTCACTGTTTTAGTCCAGAAACTAAGTACAGTTTGAGCATTCAAAGATTCCTAACTAGAAGATCCTAGAAAGCAGCTTATTAATTTTATTTTATGTCTTTTTAATTTTTTAAAAAAATCTTCTTTCAGTCCTAGGTATCTGAGAGTTTCTGGGATGTGCCCCAAATGGAATGTGTTTTTCTTATACACAGGTTATTGTTCACTTTCAAAATAGAAGATGCTACTCTTGTCAGTAATGTTACCTGCCTCTATACTTGCAACTGAGAAGGTAGATAGTTATTCTGGGCACTTTAAGAACACACACACTCTCCTGGTTAATCCATGGTTGATGGATTCTGCTGCTGATTATGGCTCTGTTAGCCTTAAGGACTTCATCTCCTTTTCTCTATTTTTGATTGCTGTAAGTTTTTGTGTCTGCTGTCCACTGTCATTTCTCTGAGGTTGATAGTTATTGTTTCAGTAGTGTATTGCTTTTGCCACGAACTAACTAACTAGGACTCCTGCTGTTGCTTGTCGAGGTGAGGAATGATAAATCTGACTGCAGTGTTAACAGACATGCTGTAACACATGGAACTTGTGGGCACTGTCTTTTTTTAAAGATTTTATTTATTTATTTTTAGAGAGGGGGAGGGAGGGAGAATGAGGAGGAGAGAAACATCAATGTGGGTTGCCTCTCGTGTCCTCCCTCCCCCCCACCATCACCACCAGGAACCGGACCTGCAGCCCAGGCATGTGCTCTGACTGGGAATTGAACCAGCGACCCTTTGGTTTGCAGGCCGGCACTCAGTCCACTGAGCCACGCCAGCCAGGGCTTTGTGGGCACTGTCTTGATGTTCTATGTTGACACTGGCTTTTTGGTACTGCTGATGCATGCCAAAGATACCATATTTTAGAGAAAGAGCCAAGTCTCACAGAAATAATAAAACGGTTGGATGCAAACATGGATCTTTTTCTATATCTCTAGCATGGTATGTATTTGACATGCTTATCATGCCACACTATGCCAGTTTATCTGCAAGGTCTATTGACCTCGTAGAGTGATTTTTTTCTTTGTCAGCACGCTGATGGCAGAATGTTGCTGAGAAAGCAGAATTCAGTATCAGTTAGGTAGTATTAATGATCTCTGAGTATAGTATAACACTTCCTTATTGCTGGCTGATACATGACTTCCTTGGATTTCTTGCCAGTTGCAAGGCTTGAGTTGTCTCAGTCAACTGCTGTCTCGTCTGTTTGCATGCCTGCACTTTTATTTTTATGTTTCAATTATTTTTAATTACAGTTGACATACATTATTATATTAGTTTCAGGTGTGCATGCCTGCAGTTTTAAAACACAAACACCAGCATTCACAGTGGCCTTTGAATGTCTTTCTCAAAGTATTGGGGTACTGTTTGCGATTTGTTGAAATAGGTAATACAAGTCCAATGAGTCGTTATATCCTTGAACTTGGTTGACTGAAATAGCCTGAATAAAAGACACTTTTCAGGTTGGTCTTTGTCTCAAGAAAATCTGTCCTCTGCTACAGTGGAGATGGACAAAGGATGGAGTGACACCTTACTGTCTCCATTAACCTTAAGGCCTAACCTTTTGTGAGCATTTAGACTCATTGAATTACTGCAGGTAAATCGGCCAGAAGATACCAAAAATAGTTTAGGTGTTCTATTGGGTTACCACAGAAGGAGGGGCTGAGCCAGTGTAGGGATTCTGGCTCTGTCCAGCATCTGCATGGTTCTTTCTTGTCTACTGCTTATCTTAACTGCACCAACAGCTTGTCCTAGTCACCTTGTCGGTCAGAAGCACTGTATGTGTTGACAGGTGAAACCCAAACCATATAACTTAACGCTTTGGTGGGAGTATCTGACAGTACTAGCTTATGGTAAACAATGCTGCTGGGATTTGTAAGGAGACTAATGGTTGAATTAAAAATCCCAACTCAACCCTGAGTTCAAGTTTCTTTTTCCAGACTTCAGTCCTTTCCTCCCTCCAATAAAACAGTATAAAGGTCTGTTTCTAGAAAAAGAGACCCTAATAAAGTTCTCTCCTTTTTGATGACTGTTTCTTCCTCTCCTCAGTTCTCCCTCTTCACTGCTGTCCATAAACACTACAGCCTCGAGCAGTGGAAAGAGTTTGCTAGCCAGAATCCTGACTGTCTTGAGGTAATACTGGTCCTCCCTAATCCTTTCCTTATTCCAGTTTTCTAGGAATCTTTTATAAGCTTGCTGGGTTCAATCCTTACCTCCTCACCCCCATTGGCTGCTCATCAGGTTATTTCAAACATGCCAATACCCCTGTTTTCTTTCACAGTATCTGGCTGCCAGCTCAGGCACAGGCTCTTCTGACTTTGAGCAGCTGGAACAAATCCTGGATGCTATTCCCCAGGTGAAATATATATGCCTGGACGTGGCAAATGGCTACTCTGAACACTTTGTCGAATTTGTGAAGGATGTACGGAAGCGCTTTCCTGAACACACCATTATGGTATGTTTCTGTTACCCAGTAGTTGGTACATCCGTTTCCTTCTTCCACTTTTGTGCCACTCCATTTTTTGTTACATAAGTTCCTTTCTCCTCTGCTGAATTATGATTTTCCTGGTCTGCTTAGTCATTTCACTGGGCGATTATCCATGGTTCCATGCTTAACGTTTGTTTATTGGTCATTGTAATCTCTGACCCTTGATGTATAGTCTTTGGAAATCCAGTGTTCCTGACATCACTCGCCAAACCTTGATGTGTTTATGTATTGTACACACCTGTGATACATATACACCAGCCTACTGAAATGGACATGGTACTATAATTCTATTAAAGGGATGCCATGTAACAATGCTTTATTTATTTTTTACAAGCTTAGGAGTGATGACAAGGCCTCATTTTCTTTACTGCTTTGAGGAATCTTTTTTTTTTTTTTTTTTAAGATTTTTATTTATTTTTAGAGAGGGTAAAGAAGGGAGAAAGAGGGAGAAAAACATCAATGTGTGGTTGCATCTCACACGTCCCCCTGCTGGGAACCTGACCTCAAACCCAGGCGTGTGCCCTACACTGGGAATCAAACTGGCGGCCCTTTGGTTCATAAGCTGGCACTCAGTCCGCTGAGTCACACCAGCCAGGGCAGGAATCTCTCTTTTCTGTCATTTAGAAGCAAACACAGCTATGTAAATGGATTTTTACCCTACATTACTATGCCTTCCCCTTTTCCCTAAGCCAGAGAGGTTTTCTGACATAATGGCTTAAGGGCAAGATATGTTTGGGTCTCTTGCGGAGATAAATCCACTGTAAATCAAAATTAGTCTTGGTCCATTTGGACCCCAGCTTCACCCTAGTGCCACAGTGACACTGGCCACTAACCCCTTACCTCAGCTGGGAAGGCAGGGTCCTTTGAAGTAGCTAGTCTAAAAGCTCTCAGAGGGCCCGGTAGAGGGAACCCAGCTACCCTCTTTGTAATAATGTTGGAAGGTCCTGGTCCAGGCATGCTATAAATGGGAGTACACAACTTCCTCTTCAGGTTTTTTTGTTTTTTAAGCATTTTCTGTACTATTCCCTTATTTCTTTTTCTCTTTAAAAGATTTTACTTATTTTGGGGGACAGGGGTAGGGAGGGAGATAGCAAGGGAGAGAGACATCAAAGTGTGAGAGAAACTGCCAATCGGTTGCCTCCTGCACACCCCGAACCGGGGACCTGGCCCGCAAGCCAGACACGTATCCTGACCAGGAGTCAAATCGGCAACCCCTTCAGTTTGCGGGATGACACCCAACCCACTGAACCACACCAGTCAGGGCTTCTCTTTGTTTCTGACCCTAAGAATGCTGTTTTGATTGCTCTGCCCAGGCGGGAAATGTGGTAACAGGAGAGATGGTGGAAGAGCTGCTCCTCTCTGGGGCTGACATCATCAAAGTGGGAATTGGACCAGGTAAGCTGGCTCACTGGGGGCCACTGGCTACCTCTTCAGTGGCAAACACCTATGGAGAGCTTCACTCTCATCCTTGTCACATTTTTCGCAGGCTCAGTGTGTACCACCCGGAAGAAAACTGGAGTGGGGTATCCACAGCTCAGTGCGGTGATGGAGTGTGCAGATGCTGCTCATGGACTCAAAGGCCACATCATTTCAGTAAGGCCCAAGGGCAGGGTAGGATATGAGGCTGCCAAACATCTGGGTTTTCTGCTGGGTACGGAAGCCCTGATAGAGGTGGATCGGGACCTGGGTTCCTGTCAGCTTTGAAGTGTGCTGTTGGGACATGGCTGAGAGGGCTAGGGACATCCAGGCTCTCTCTCTACATTGCTTCTTACTTTGCAGGATGGAGGCTGCAGCTGTCCTGGTGATGTGGCCAAGGCTTTTGGTAAGGACGCTCGGAGGGCACAGGAGGATCCTATTAGAAGAGGACTAGTCACCTCTCAGGGTCTAGGATCAGGCTAAGAAAGGCGGAGGAAGCTATTTAGACTCTTTCCTAATATGAACTCATGACCCTGAAGCTTGTGTCATTTGGGGCAAGTCAGCTGAGAGGCTGATACGGACTCCCCAGGTGCGGGCCAGGACCATCTGCATCATCCCCTGGACTGCTGGACAATGTAAACGGCGAAACCTCAGACTTACAGAATCCAGCTCTGAGGAATGGCGCTGCAGATGTGCATTTTTTTTTTACAGCTTCCCAAGTGATCCTTATTCACAGTAAAGTTAGGGACTTTTGCTCTTAGAGCACTTGAAGTCAGTCTTTTTCAGCTGAGCACAGTAAAAGAAATGACCAGAAGATGGCAAAAGCAGCCAAAAGGAGAGAGGAAAGCCAAGCAGGGAATATCTGCAGGGGAGTCCAGCCTTTGGGCGTCTCTGAATCACACTGGAATAAGAGTTGTTTTGGGCCACACATTAAATACATTGTGACACGTAATCACAAAAAAGCTCATAATGTTTTAACTAAATTTACAATTTTGTGTTGGGCCGCATTCACAGCCATCCTGGGCTGCATGTGGCCTGCGGCCACAGGTTGGACACCCCTGTTAGTGGCTTTTTAAAAATTTTTGGAGAAGAGTCAGGAACAGAGGCCAGGGCAGAGCAGGCCTGTGTGGGTTGTTGTTCAGGTAGGGAAACAAAACTCAGAAGACACTGGAATCAGTCAGGACTGAGAATTTGGTGTGAGCTGCTTCTGAGCATGGGTGGGTATGTGTGGGCACCTGGGCCAGATTCATCTCCTTCCCCCCTCATTGATAGGGGCAGGGGCTGACTTCGTGATGCTGGGTGGCATGCTGGCTGGGCACAGTGAGTCAGGTGGTGAGCTCATCGAGAGGGATGGCAAGAAGTACAAGCTCTTCTATGGAATGAGCTCTGAAACAGCCATGAAGAAATATGCTGGGGGCGTTGCTGAGTACAGGTATGTGTAGAGCTCCAGGAGCTGAGGATTCTTGGAAGGTGTGACAAAGTAGGGTGGTGGCAGAACTCAGGGTTGCTGGGAGATAGATTGTATAGTTCTTGAGAGAAAAGAGGTGAACCAGGGTTAAATGCTAGAGACTGGGAAGAGTCATGAGGCTTATGGAATTCAGAAGGAAAGGTAAAAAAATTTTTCCTCCTCTCAGGGCCTCAGAGGGAAAGACGGTGGAGATGCCCTTCAAAGGGGATGTAGAACATACCATCCGAGACATACTAGGAGGCATCCGTTCCACATGTACCTATGTAGGAGCAGCTAAGCTGAAGGAGCTGAGCCGGAGAACTACCTTCATCTGTGTCACCCAGCAGGTGAATCCAATCTTCAGTGATGTGTGCTAGGCCTTGGCAGTTCTGCCCTCCCAAGGCACCAGCACCTCACTCATCCCAGCACCTATGACTATTACTTGGTTGTTTCACCCCTGAGAGTTCCTCCAGTAATGCTATACTTCTCTTATCTGCACCTACAAAATGCCCAGGACACTCACTAGGGAGGAAGCAAGGAAGGCAGGCTTAGAAAATGAAGTTAAGATAATCAAATGAGAATCTGGGGACCCAGCTCCCAAAGATTATTGAAAGAAAAAGATACTGATTCATACACAAGTGTTTTATATATGGCCACGGTCTTAAGAGGTAAGCTTTTAGAATCATGTTTTGCTAATCAGCTTCATTAAATAGGATCTTTGAATATCTAAAAAAGAAGTATTTACATGAATTTAACTATCTCTATAAAGAGAGATCCCAATGACTGTAAAGATTCTGGGGCTTTCTGCACAAGCCTGGCATCTGGGTGCTGCTCCAGGGCAGGTAGAGGTGGCACTGACCCAGTGGAGTCAAGGACAGTGAGTCCTTTTCCCATGAAGCATCTCCATTCTAGTCTTCCCCGCCCTGCCCCCATACCCCTCCCCCCCCATAACCTGGCAACGTGAGAATTTACAGAGTATACATTCTGGTATCAGGACAGAGATATTTTCAGAATAGCAAAAGCAAATTTCTCATCCAGGTTCCCAGCCTTGGTTATCTTCCTGGCACTTCTGAACAACACTTTTGAAGGGAAGTAAAAGGGCAAAGGAATTCATTTAGACCTTGAGAGGCCACTTCTAAGGAATGATCTACACTGGCCTTACGGAAGCCTTAATTCCCCCTCCCTCATACCAACACAGTGTTTTAACAAATCCAAAGTTTAATTATCAAGCATTACAAAGTAATTTTGGCAATATAGTCAGGCAACCCAAGCTTGGGAATCCACTTTATTTCCACTAAACTGCCTGTAGAGGTGAGGAGGAAGGAGACAGGCAGGATGCAGATGGCATTCCAGTCCTATCAGAGGAGTCTATATGGTCACGGGAAAGGACAGACACAGCACTGGGGCTAGAAGCGGGGAGGTATTCATTGAAGGTGGGGATTAGAGTGTCAAACTTTGTCTTCTCATAGTTTTCCAGAGACTCCTGCAGAGAAGGGAGCAAGGAGATCCTATCATCCTCTAGAACACTGTTTTGCCTTGTTCTGGAGCACAGGGATTTCTGCCTTGTTTTGCCCCATCGCCTTCCTTCCCCAGCTTTCTGTTCCTCCCTACTCACCATTCCTTCCCTCTGGCCATTTTCTTCCTCATCAGAGTCCAAAACCAAGTCCCCTATGGTAATGACAGGGCTGCACAGAGATAGAGGACACACTGCAGAAGTAAACCAGAGTCAAAGTACTGTTCTAGGTGAACACAGGCCCTTAAGAGTCCTCAAACCCTGACCGGTATAGATAGCCCAGTTGATTGGGTGTCCTCCCGCAGAACAAAAGGTCGCTGGTTCAATTCCCGGTAAGGGCACATGCCTGAGTTGTGGATTCAGTCCCCAGAAGGGAACTGTGTAAAAGGCAACTGCTCGATGTTTCTGTCCCTCTCTCCCTTTCCCTCTCTCTAAAAATAAATAAATAAATAAAAAGTCCTCAGGGGATGAGGCTGTTGGATCCAGTCCTGACTCGGTATACCTACCTGGATTCCTGGCCCTAGGAGATGATAATGACAGTCTCGGGGACTCCAGGGGGCAATCCCAGCACTTCCTGGGGTGGGAGCAAGCAAAGAAGATCAGGTGAAGGGAAAGTAAGCGAGGGATGTGCTGCTAGTGGGGAGAAGCAACTCTTTACTCACTCCTTTTGCTCCGAGGCAGACGTGTCAACTGGGTTTTCCTTCACAGTCCTTCCGCACAGGATCTGGGATGGACTCCTAGACTTCCCAGTGGAGGCTGCCCTTGTGCCGACATCACCTGCTGCAGCTGCCATGTGTGTCCCTTGTTCTTCTCTGTTGTCAGGTTTAGATATGACCTGAGTTGGTGAACCCAGATTCCTAAAGGGTAATAGCATGGCTGTGGGGCGCTCCTTATTGCCTACCCGAGTGTTTGCCCACTGGGAATGGATTCTTCGCTGGCCTAGAGGGGCCAGATTGAAGTGGTGGCCAACCAAAGGTTCTGGGTGCTTCCTTGAGGCTGGTCCCTGAGGAAGGTACAGGCCAGACTTGGCTTTTGGTAGAGGATGGTGGAGTGCTGGTCTTGGTTGCTGAGGAGGACTCGGCTTCATGGGCTCTGTCATGTTCACTGAATTAGTAAGAGAGCACTCTAAAAAGAAAACAATGTTCTTTATAAAGAGAACACGTCAACTCAGTCTGGTTTCTTGTGTCTCTGGCCCATGTAACCCTTCTAATGGGCCGGCCATTTCCAAAGATCTCAGGCTAAACACTCCACCCCAAAATTCCTAATTCTCCCAGATGGTCCTGGTACCTGGAAGTGGCCACCCCATGTCCACACCATACTGGCTCAAAGCGAAAGAAGAAGTGATAGAAACTCCAGGCTGCATCCAACTCAGCACATCTTGAAGCTGTGGGCAGGGAGAGAGGCATGAACACTATAGTTCTTGATCCAACCAGCCCGCACTCTGCCCTGTGTTTTGCCCCAGGAAAACCTGCTGAGCCTGTGGTGCAGGCAGTGCTTTTTCCAGCTGACATAAGTATTCAAAAAATAGCTTTTCCACAGCAGTCAGAAAAGGTTCTCCATACTCTTGTTCAAGTTCCTGCAGAACAGAAAAAAGCAGGTCAGAAGGGGACCAGAGATAACAGCCACATCATAGCTTCCAAACCAGCCAGTCTCACCTGCAGCTTCCAAGCCAAATCCGCAGGGGCTTCTGCCAGCTGCTTCACCTGCTGGCAAAAGGCTTCCTGTGCCTCCGAGATCTTTCTGAGATCCTGTTTTGTCTGTTGAAGGTAAAGAAGGCAGACAGACAAGTTAAGAGCAGCAGGATCCAGTGACTAGGAGGAGGAGCAATTTTGTTGCACCAACGGTTAACTAGGGGTGGGGATTATTCCAGGGATTACTCACTGCTTTAGGGTCCCGCACTCCAGGTCCAGACTCTGGGAAGTGGTGATGCAGGGCATTCAGAACCTGGGCCCAAGGCCGGCCCTGGAGGATCAGCTCCACCACCACCTGTGAATGGTACTGAGCTCAGTCCTCACTTAGGGACAAACTCCTCTTTGGCAACCGGTTTCACCCCGCAAGCGGTCGGCGGAGTCAGGTCCCCACATCCCACCTCTTCCCCAGTCCTTTTTCTGATCCCACTGGCTCTAATACCTTGGCCTTTAGGCCCATGCATAGCCGTTCGTGGTGGCGGTAGCGAACCAAACCAGGGGCAGCAGCGCGCAGGGACTGAAGAAACTGCAACACTCGCGGAAAATGTTCCACGTAGCGTCCCCGCACGACTAGCCAGCTGGCGGCGGCTGCAAAGCGAAGGGCAGCCGGACCCGCGCCCGAGGGCGAGGGCGTAGCCATTGCCAGGGTGCTCCGCCCTGGGGGCAGTACTCAGGATCCTCTCCACCGCGAAACTGTTTGACTCCTTCTAGGGGCGGGGCTTCCGGTGGCCTTCAGTGGCTCGACGTTTCAGTGGGTGACGTATATTTCACGATCCGACTCCGCGTCCTTCCATAGACCACCAGAATTTTGGAGATCTTCTCCAACTTGGGCAGGAGCCTGAGCGGAGAATCTGGCTGGCTTGAATGGCACCAGGTCGCTCGTTCTGCCTTAAGCGGCGCCGTTGTGTCAAACCTGAGAGCTACAGCACTTCCGTTCCTGCGACCAGTTTTCCGAAAAACGGGTAGTAATGGATAACCAATGGGCTGCAGACGAAGGTAAACGTGACTTAGCGTCATAAGGCCCCGCCCCGGCGGTTCCGGCACTGTCCCGCCCTCACTCTCTGTCAGGTTCCTCGGTCCCTTGCTAGGCTTCTCTGACAGCGGGTGTGGGCCTTCCAGGCCCCTGCCTCTCTGCGGAGCCGGCAGAGAAGTCGCATTCCTCTCTGAGGGTTTACTTCCTAGTCTGTAAAGCTGCTTGTCCTCTCCATTATTATCACCCACTGAAATATGATTCCTTAAATCCTAGTCCCCAAACCGGCGCTACAAAGCCTCCCCGGGTGGCAGGCCGCTTCCAGTAAGAATTCGACTGTTCCTTTTACAAAGCAGGAGAGGGCGCCACCTCTTAAAAGTTTGAAAGGATACATAAGGGGACTAAATGGTAATGGGAAAAAAATAACAATAAAGTAGAAATAATAAAAAAAAAATACATCCGATTGTTAACCTGGTTTTCTCTGGATGGTGACACTGTACGTAATTTATGTGCTTTTCCGTATTTTTTTGGTATCATAATTTGAAAATAAAAAATATAAAATAGTTTCTTTTTTCGAATTTCTGTTGTGCACTTACTCTGGACATCCTCTAATGTAATTGACTATTTTAATCTCCTTGTCCTCTTCCTGGTGTCTACTTATTTCCGTCACCAAGTACAGAACCAGGCACACAGTGTATATTCTTTGTTATTTGAATGAATTACCTGCCCCGACTACCTTACAGGGCTTTCGTGAAACTACCCTTTACATGGGCTATCCCCTCCCCTGGAATTATGGCTCCCATATCCTTTCCTGTCTCCATCCAAGGTCTGAGGCAATCCACATATTCAACTGCCTGTGGGACATCTAATTGGAGGTCCTAAAAGTACCCAGATTGGATATGTATGACATTCTAGCTATTTCCCTTTTAATTTTACCTTTATTTTTTCCATAAAGTCCTTCCTTTATGTAGATCTGAGTTCCTGACCTATACTATTTTCTTTCTTTCTGGAAAAATTTCTTTTAACATGTCTTGCAAGTCAGGTTACCTGGTGACAAATTCCCTTAATTTGTGCTTGTCTGAGAAAGTCTTTATTTCTCCTTCACTTTTAAACAATAGTTTTGCTGGATACAGAATAGTAGCCTGGTGGGCATTTTCCCTTCAACATGCTAAATGTTTTATTCCACTCTCTTCTTATTTGCATGCTTTCTGAAGAGAAGTCTGATGTAATTCTTATCCTTCCTCCTCTATAGATAAGGTGTCCCTGCTCCTAACCTCCATGCTTTAAGATTTTCTCTTGGTTTTCTGTTTTCTGAAGTTCGAATATGATATACCTAGGTGCAGATTTATTTACTTTTTAAAAATTTCTTCTGCTTGGTGTTTTCCGAGCTTTCTCCATCTGTGTTTGGTGTCTATCATTAATTTTGGGAAATTCTTGGTATTACTGTTTCAGATGTTTCTTCTGTGCCTCTCTTTTTCTGGTATTCTCATGTGTGTTCTACACCTTTTGTTTTTTAGATATTGATTTGTCTTTTTCTTAGCATTTCAGTTTTGGAAATTTCTATTGACATTTAATCAAGTTTACTGATTCTTTCCTCAGGCATGCTCATCTGTTGATCAGCCTGTTAGGTCACCCTTCATTTCTGTTACAGTGTTATTTCTAGCATTTCCCTTTGGTTCTTAGTTTATACTTCTCTGCTTATAGTACCTATCTGTTCTTACATGTTGTCCATTTTGTTCATTAAATCTCTTAACATATTGATCATAGTTCTAAATTCCTGGTCTGATATTTCCAATATCTCTGCCATATCTGAGTCTGGTTCTGATACTTAGTCTATCTCCTCAAAGTGTATTTTTTATCTTTTAGTGTGCCTTGTAGTTTTTTTGTTGAAAGTTGGGTGTACTGGTAAAAAGGAACTGAGGTAAATAAGCCTTTAGTGTTGTATTTACCTGTCTAGGAATTAGTCTGTGTTGTATCTGTAGGTGTCAGACGCTAAAATTTCCTCTGGTGTCATAATATTGTCTTCCCTGTTGTTTTGGGGGTTCTCTAGCAACGTCTTTAATAAGATCTGAGATGTGCGGGTCTTTCCATTGTATTCCCCTGTGACTATCCAGGTAGATTGCCAGAATAGTGACTATCGGGAGGGAGTGAAACATGGCCTGAGGATCAGTAGGAATAAGAAATCAAGATGGAGAGGTAAAGGAACAAAGGGGATTGTCATGGTAATGTGATTTTGACTATTATGTGTTGATGCAACGGTCAGGTTAAGGAATTTTTTGGTATTTTTTTTAAAGAGGATATTTAACATGAAGTTGGTGTAGAACTGAGGATTCATTTTTTTCAAAATCCTCACCCAAGGATGTGTTTCTTGAGTTTAGAGAAAGAAAAAGGGGGGAAGAGAGAGAGAGAGAGAGAGAGAAACATCAATGTGAGAGAGAAACCTTGATCAGTTGCCTCTGTACATGCCCGACTGGGGATTGAGCCCGCAACCCTTTGATGTATGGGACAATGCTCTGACCAACGGAGCCGCCGACCAGGGCCTGGGCATTCAATATTTTGACTCTGGAAATGTGTTTTTAGTTCCATTGACCCAATCTTGCATAAACAGTTCTTTCTGGCATTGTACTGAGGAAGAAATAAAACTTATGCTTTACATCATTACAACCTAAAGATATTTCCAAAGTACAGGAACAGCCTGGCTTCGCACTAGCACAGAAAACTTTCACTAAAGTGGCAGTGACATTTAACGCTTGTTAAGGTAGCTCTTGGGGACCTGTGTCTTGTACAGGACCTTAGGTCCTCAATGAAGAATCTACAGCAATGTAGATTCCAATGTAGAGTCCAAGCTCGCTCTGGGAGGCTGTAGCGCCCTCTGAATATGTAGCATTGCAGGGACAGGCTCCTCAGGGCAGAAACAGGTAAGTGGCTGGTCGAATGGGATGTAATCTGCTCAGTCAAAATTGAGGTGCTGCGAGTGAGAGGAAATCTATTGCCAAACCCCACAGATGCTGCTACATTAGAAAAAAACACATTTCTTTTGTACTCTATATCCTCCCATTTCTTACTCAGCTCCATTATAATATTATGGGACCGCTGTCATATAGACGATCCTTCATTGACCAAACATCACTATGTGGCATATGACTGTTGTCTTGTTTACTCTTCTAGACTCCCTTTCACCAAGGATCTTTGCACAGGCTGTTCCTTTTGCCTGGAGTGATCTCCCTTCCCTCTCTGCCTATCCTCCGGGTCACCTATTTAGGTAAAGCTTTCCTAACCACCACCACCAGGCTAGCTCACATGCCTTCACTTCAGAGCTATCTACCCTCTTTTGTCTCATGCATTTATTCATTTAATGTTTCTCAGACTCTAAGTTCCATAGGGCAGGAACTAGGTTTGTCCTGTGTTCTAGCACTTAGTCCAGTGCTTGGCATATGTCATTAATTGTTAAGTGAGTGAAGAAATCGGTCCATTAGCCATCACTGTACCTGGACCCTGCCAGTCAGAGGCTCCAAAAAAATTCTGGTCCAACTGTGGACAAAAATCCCTTTCTGGAGTGCACTTTAGAACAGCTGAAGCTAGCCATTTTTAAAAATTAACTTTATTTAAATGATGTGGAATCACTATAGTCCAATCCATAAACCTGAGAAACATGTCATATTTTATAAAATTTTTTAAATGTTATAGTTTATCCTATTACAGTTGTCCCATTTTCCCCCCTTTGCTCCCCTCCACCCAGACCCCCTAAAAATTTGTTTTCAAATTTGTGATTAATTTCACCTTATTTATTTTTTTATCAGGAAGATAAAAATCTTCCTCTTGGTGTTTTTATCTCTCCCAGAATTTTCCAAGAAACCTGACCACCGGCGCAGGCCTTGCAGCCCCCATGCTTGCTGGGGAGAGCTTTGCTGCTCTCAGGGTCTGCCATACGTTTTCCACCCACTCAGCATCCCCGTAGAAAACCACCTGCAGAGGTTGTTACCTGAACTCTCAGGATTCCATCCCCAGATCCAGACTTTATTCCCTGAGTCAAGAGGCAGCAGGAGCTTCAGGTTTTGCCAAAGTAAACACACCAACATGAAGTTCAGGGACCCTCAAATCCAGGCCAGTTTTCCAGGCCTAGGATGGTCTTCTTCCCTGCTGTCCTGGCCCTGATTATGGTCAAGCTTCAGATGAAGCTACCATAATCCACACTAATCTTTCCAACTTTAAATCTTGAGGCAGAAAGAAACAAGGAAAATATTAGTTCTTTACACTCAGGAAACCCTAGGCAAAGAACCTACCTTTTCCCTAGGGATTAACTTTGTATACCAGGTGTCCCAGGAGAACCAAAACAGGTTACCAGGACTCAGAGAAAATGACTGCCTCATCATTGCCCATGGGCGCCAACTAAGAGAGCAACTCTTGTGGACTTCTTGAAACTAAGACTAAGAACACCTTTATTTTGTTTAAAAAAAAAAAATACACATTTTGTTATATAAAGGGTATGAAGGAAATAATCATATAAATAAATGGCATAAAATAGGTTTTCCTAGTAAGTTTTCTGAGGCACATCTAAACAGAGTAAGAGCTCTGCTTAGATGGTCATTATAGAGCCCCCTGGGTTGCCCATTTATCTCTCTCTTTCCTAGAGTTGCTCTTGGCATCTCTCAGGCATTTTTCCTACAAATGCTACAAAACACAATCCTTCGTTGCTCCTCCAAGCTTCCAGACTCCCCATCACCCTCTGATTTAGTCCGTCTTCCATTCAACAGATATTTATTGAGCACCTACTACGTGTCATGGACTGTGAATCAGCCACAAGTAGGACAGAGAAGGTCCTTGCCCTGGCAGGGCTTACATTTTAGCAGGAGGGGAACTAGAGGCCTGAGGTCAGAACAGTTTAAGCTGGGACAACAGGGATTCTAATCTCCATGTCTAGAGAAATAAAGGATGATACCCACAAAGCACCCAATCTGAGCTTAACTCATAGGAGGAACCCAACATACATTTGTTTGTTTCCTTCTAACTGTTTGGAGGATAGCATTGCCTTTCTGTTG